GGCAGATCACGAGGTCAGGAGTTCGAGAAAAGCCTGGCCAACGTGGTGAAATGCTATCTTCACTAAACAGAAAAATTTAGCCAGGCCTGGTAGTGCATGCCTGTAATTCCAGCTACTCAGGAGGCTGAGGCAGGAGAATCGCTTGAAACCAGGAGGCGGAGGTTGCGGTGAGCAGAGATCGGGACACTGCACTCCAGCCTGGGCAACAGAGCAAGACTCTGTCTCAAAAAAAAAAAAAAAAAGATGGCAAAAAGCACATAAGATGATGCTCATTATTACATCAGTAGAGAACTGCAAGTTAAAACAGTAAGATACCACGACACACCTGCAAGAATGGATAAAACCCAAAAACTCACCAGCAAATGACGATAAGCATGCAGAGCAAAAGGAGCTCTCACTGCTCGCTGGCAAGAAGGTAAAGTAGTACAGACACTTAGGAAAATGTTTGGACAGTTTTTTTTTTTATAAAGTCTTGATTTATGATCCAGCAAACAGTATTTATCCAACTGAGGTGAAAACTTCTGTGCACATAAAACCGACACACAGGCATATAAAGCAGCTTCATTCATGATGCCAAAAGTTGGAAGCAACCCAGACATCCTTCAATACATGAATGAATGGATAACCTAACTCTGATACATCCAAACAATGGACTATTATTCCCCAAAACCACAAGGGAGCTATTAAGTCATAAAAAGGCAGGGAGAAAACTTAAGTGCATACTGCTAAGAGAGAAGGCAGTCTGAAAAAAGACTAAATACTACGATTCTGGATATATGACATGCCAGAAAAGCCGAGGATATAGCAATAGCTGAGAAGTGGGTCAGGGTTTTGGGGAGAGCAGAGGAGAGATGTTTAGGGTGGTGAAGCTCTTTGGTATGATATTGTAATGATGGATACATGTCATTACGTATTTGTCAAAATCCATAGAACTGTGTAACAGAAAGAGTGGACCATTGTGTTTCGGGGTTTGAGACAGGGTCACACTCCCATCACCCAGGCTAGAGTGCAGCAGCGTGATCAGGGACCCCTGCAGTCTCTACTTCCTGGGCTCAGGTGATTCTTCCATCTCAGCACAAAAAATACTAGAATGGCTCTACTAAAGGAAAAGACAAAAGCTGGCAAATACTGACAAGCTGTTATTTCAGAGCACGACCTACCTGCCGTGACTGTTCTGCTAGCAAGAGCTTTTCATAATCGTTCCTGAAAAGTAACACCATTTTTTGGCCAACCTTCCTTTTTTGGTGTAGTAATGACTTTTCCCCCTGAAGACAAAATGTATTGGCTATAACAAGTCACACTTGGATATTATGGCTTTAGACAAACACTTGGATTTAACTGACCTAAGTTTCGAGTCAGAGAATACCATATGGAACAAATTTGAATTGTAAACCATATTTGGACAAACACAGAAGGTTCTGGTTTCCTTAAGTACTCCAAGCCAGAGGTACGAAGAGGTAGCATGTTTTGTGATTATACTATGCACTTGCCCTCATTTCATGTTTTAAAACTTTCATTTCGTTCTGAAGATGTCTACGTGACTACTTTAATTTTTAGGTATAATTTGGGTAAGAACAGTGATGAGCTAATTGAATTCTTTTAAAGATAGCTTCCTTTATTAAATATGCAATTTTTGCCACCAGGCAGGGTGACTCACCCCTGTAATCCCAGCACTTTGGGAGGCTGAGGTGAACGGATCACCTGAGGTCGGGAGATCAAGACCATCCTGGCTAACATAGTGAAACCCTGTCTCTACTAAAAATAAAGAAAATTAGCCTGGCAAGGTGGCACATGCCTGTAATCCCAGCTACTCAGGAGGCTGAGGCAGGAGAATGCTTGAATCCAAGAGGTGGAGACTGCAGTGAGCTGAGATCGTGCCACTGCACTCTGGCCTGGGCGACAGAGAGAGACTCTGTCTCAAACAAACAAACAAAAAAACAAAAAAGGAAGCAACATTGACTAAGTCTCAAGGAAAAGGAAATTATGAAGTACCTCTAACTCTTGATATTAAATATGAAGCCCATCACCTGTCACCAGCAAAAACTGCCTCCATCACACTTCTCCAACCCACACCCATGACTGCATACTCTCCTCCTCTTTTGGCAAGTCCAAGCAATCTTCTGACATTGTATCTGATGTAGAAACTTAAAAACACTTCATTTTTCTACTGATAGACAGCGTTTGGTTCTCCCACAGTCCTACATGCTTTGCAGATACTCTCATCCTCACCCCAACCCACTGAATCGTGTACTTTTATTGCATGTATTTGATAGATGAGGAACTGGCGGGACAGGCACTAAGTAACCCAGGCAAGGTCACAGAGCTGCTAAGTGGCAATCAGAATTCAATCCCTGCTGTCTGAATGGAGCCCTTCAGGGCTGGCCACAGAGTCTCTGTATACAGTACTACACTCTGCTGCCTCACATTTTTTACATTTACTAGTAAATCTGTCCTCCTGCTCTCAGATGACAATCTGTCTTTTCTGTCCTGAAATGCCATCTCCTTTTGAGTGTACATAGTTTACGACTACTGACACGTTATTATAAAACAGTTCCCTTTTAGAGACTTTTGAACACTAAGAAGTAGAAATGCGTTTTTCCCAGACTTGAAGACAATAAAATCTGGGGCTCTTTCTCTTGAATTTTTTATTTCCGTTTTCTTAAATGCTACTTTATGAAAAAATTTAATTTTCAAAAAGTTAGGGTGTTTTGGCGATACCCTAGCAACTGTTAAAACAACCACTGTGATCATAACTTACTTAATAGTAAGCCTAAAGATTAGTTTATGTTAGTATGATAACCTCTCTGAAAGCAAAAACTAAAACAGTAACAAACTAGTTTTAAAAACTTCCAGTAATCAAAACGGAACTGTGGAAATATGCCTCCTCATGGTTTGGTTAAGGCAAAGGTATTTTTTCCCCCTTCCAAATTAGTTCTGTGGAGTGGTTTTAATTTTTGAATTCGAAAGGTTAATTAAATTAGTGGGAAGAAAAATAACAGAAGGGGCGGGAGAGACATTAAGCACCAAGAGTGACGGAATGCATGAAAAGGAAGAGGACAGACTATATTTTTAAAGCGGAACACTGCCGACTGATGATTTAAAAGCAATATTCCAACGGGATTAAGGCCAGGACTAGGACCTTTATATGCTGACTGAGGTTCGGATTTAAGCTCCAAACAGTGGTTGTCTCCAACAGAGCGCTCTTATTTAAAATGATCCTTTACTAAAAGAGCTTCAAATGATCCTACAGATTTTTTTAAAAAGGTATTTCTAAAATATTTTGTAAAATATTCTGTCTTAGTTTCAGAAACTCTTTCCATTTTTTTAAAGATCAACTTAGAAACCAAGGTTCTAAAAATACTGACAGGTAACATGAATGCCTGGCAAGAGGGTAAGGACAGGAGGGCTGATGTTTGCAGAGCACTACTGCGTGACAGGTGCTGTCCCAGGAAGCTCACTGAGACCTCGTCTATTTGTTCACTATCACATTTTGGCACTTCCCACAGTACCACCGGGCGCAGTGCAGGCACTCAGGTCAGTTAACAAGTGGGACAGTCTATACAACAGATAATTCAACTATAGTGACCTTTTAATTCCCATGAATGTTCTTTTTCCATATTAGAGAGAAAAAAAAAGATCTTACTTCCAAGACCAAGCCACCAAAATTTTTATGTGGCTAATTCACATCAGATTTCATTCTGAAAATCTCCTATATCACTATCAGTTATCTGCCTAATGAAAAATGTATTTATTTCAACTAATGCTTTATGGACCCTTCACATAAATTAAGATACAAAAATCTAGTTTAGCACTGTAGCGCCTTAGAAATCCTCCATGCTGTTAACAGCAGGGAATTGCTAGGACACAGCCTATATTCCTCTTGGCAGTGTGTCTGAAATGCTTCCAGATTCTGTCAAGCTTCAAAACTGAACAGCACCACCCACAAACCAACTTTTACCTGCCGGCTTCCAGGCTTTCTAATAGGCATTTCCCCCAACCCAGGTCGCCCCACCCGGAACTACTGTTTAAAATTCTCGAGACGCGTGGCACCCTTTGGCTGCATGGCAGTTAACAAACGCCACTTAAAGCCCACCGAACTCCTTCGCCTAAAACCTTCGGGCAATTTCATGACCTTGCAGGGTTACGGTTTCAGCAAGTGGTTTCAAGGCGGTGCTAGGTGTCCTTCCCTTCCCCGCCATCAGACAGATCTGTAGGGTCCCTTCTGCAGCTAGACCACCCTCAGGGGCATCGAGGATGCTCGCCTTCGCTGTTCTAGCACCCAGCAAAGCGCCCGCGACACGGGAGGTGCTCGACGGCCACGCTCTGTGACTAGATCGGATCTTTAAGGGTCAGTCTGCCCAGCGCTGAAGGGTTTCGAAGGGCGTCAAGGACAGAGCACAACTTAACCTTCCACTGGGTGGTCTCTCTTGCAGGCCCCGAGAATGGGGGCCTGGCTCGCAGTGGAAGCTCAGGAAGTACTGATTAGCTGAGGGAACCCGAGGCCGCAGTCCGGAGGTCCCAGGTGGCTCTCCGGCCTCAGGGGACGGGGCGGGACCTGGCTCGGCCGGAACCCGGCCCTGAGCACGCCTCCCCGGCTTCAAAGCCGCATCCTGCAGCCCCCGCTACCCCGCGCCTCCGAGGGGCCAGGGGCCCGCGCAGGCCCTACGACTCCAGATCGGCCCCCGGGCCCAACCCCCCTTCCCTGCCCCGTGCCCGAGCTCTTCCATCGCTTGCAGTCCTGGCGATCTTCCCGCAAGCTCTCATACCATTGCGGCTGCAAGGTCCAGGCCGACAGCCCAGAGACGCCCGCGCGAGAGAACATGGTAGCCGCAGCTCTGCTGAAGGTCGGTCACTGAGGCCTCAGCGCGCGTGCGCAGAAGCTTCCCAACACGCCCTTCCCACTTCGCTCTCTTCTTCAGTCTCATTTCCTCGCGCTACAGCGAAGAGAGTCTCGCGAGCGTTGTAATGCGAGAGTCCCACCTCCTTCCGCCTCACAGCAGGGATTTGTCCCGCCCACTGCCGCCAGCCCAGTTCCATTTCCGGCTGGCTGGGCTCTGGGGTCTAGAAAGTGATCGCTGCCGTGGTCGCCATGGGGAAGTCGGATTTTCTTACTCCCAAGGCGATCGCCAACAGGATCAAGTCCAAGGGGTTGCAGAAGCTGCGCTGGTATTGTCAGATGTGCCAGAAGCAGTGCCGAGACGAGGTGAGTGGGCCCGGGGTGGCCCGTCTTCCCAGGAGGGCCCCTGGGAGTCCAGGATCAGGTCCTGCATGCGGGGCCGAGGGCTGCCAGTAACAGTCATCAGCTCTAACTTGACTTGGCTCTTAAGAGAAACAGGGTGGTTAGGATTCACACCTCTTTTGGGATCAGGTGAAAAAGGAGCGCTAAGCTCTTTCGTACTACTCATCTAGCAAGCATTTATTGAGACCTACACTGTACCCGGCACAGAATAATACTGTGGTTAAGATTATGGATTTATCTGGTTTATAGATATATCAAACCGTCAAAATTTAAAGTTAAGCTGGGCCACTTGCCAGCCGTGTGTGGTCTTGGGCAAGTTACTTACTTATTCTCCTTTACTTATCTGTAAAGAGGGAATAATAATTCCACCTACTTGTAGGATTGTCGTTGAGTTTTAAATGAGTGCAGTGTATAAAGAGTGGCTCAAGGAGTCTGAGCAGATCTTGAAAAGCCTTGTATGCTGCTCAATGGAGTTTACACGTCTCCCCATTACAGAGGTGGTTGATGGAATGATCACATCCTAGTGATGTGATCGTATTTTCCTCCGGAGATTGGACTGGATTGGGTAAGGGTGGAAGAACACTGAGGCAGTTGGAATAATCTAATTTAGTGTTTCTACGAGTGAAGGAAGAGATATTTTAGGTGGGACTCACACTGACTAACATTGATAGTTATTCTCTTTAGTTCTCTCTATTAATGAATGTCTATATGTCCATTATCTAATGTCTTAGACTGCTTGGACTGCCATATAAAGTGCAGTAGACTGGGTGGTTTAAATGACAGAAATTGATTTCTCACAGTTCTGGATGTTGGGAAGTTCAAGATCAAGGTGCTAGCATGGTCAGATTCTAGTGAGGGCCTTCTTGGTTTGCAGAAAGCTGCCTCTCTATCCTCACAAAGCAAATAGAGCAAGCTCTAGTAGAGACTTCTCTTCCTCTTTTTTTGAGACAGGGTCCCACCGTGTCCCAGATACAGGCTGTACCCTCATGACCTCATCTAAACCCAGTCACCGCCAAAGGCCCAACTCATAATACCATCCCCTTGGGGGTTAGGGTTCAACATAGGAACTTTGGGGAGACACAAACATGCAGCCTATAACCTCAGAGTTAACACTTTAAGTAATTTTGCCATATTTACTTTTTAAAAAATATTTTGAAGTAAATTACAAAGTATATCACTTTGAAATACTTAAATAGGCATCTCTAAAATTTCAGAATATTTTTCTATATAACCACAATATATCTCACCAACATACAAAATTAACAGAAGTTCCTCTCTATCATCTAATACGCATTCACACCTTCTCAGCTGTCCTCCAACTCTTTCTTTAAATTAAGATTCAATAAAAAGCCACGGACTGTTAGAGATTTGGTTATTAGGACCCCTGCCCCCCCTCCAGTCTTCTTCATCATCAACATCCTATAACAAGGTGTGATATTTGTCACCATGGATGAAACTACTTTGACACATCAGTATCATCCAGAATCCATAGTTCACATTAGGGTTCACTCTTGTACATCCTATAGGTTTTGACAAATGCATAATATATATTCATCATTATAAAATCTCACAAAATAGTTTCACTGCCCAAAAAGTCCTCTGTGCTCTGGGTTATTAGGACTTTTGGTTTTCTCTAAATTTAATTCTCTCTATATTCTAAATTTAGAATATAACTTATTTTTCCTCCACCCCTTTTTCTTGTTTTTTTTGAGACAGAGTCTTGCTCTGTCAGGCTGGAGTGCAGTGCCGTGATCTCAGCTCACTGTAATCTCTGCCTCCCGGGATCAAGTGATTCTCATGCTTCAGCCTCCCAAGTAGCTGGGATTACAGATGCCTGCCACCATGCCAGACTAATTTTTGCATTTTTGGTAGAGGCTAGGTTTTGCCACGTTAGCCAGTCTGGTCTCAAACTCCTGACCTCAGGTGATTCACCTGCCTCAGCCTCACAAAGTGTTGGGAGTACAGGCATGAACCCCCAGCCTTCTTTTTCTTCACATTGACTTGTTGAAGAGAGGAGGCTGGGCCGTTGCCCTGTAGCATCCCATGTATGTTAACTTGTTTCCTCTCCCTGTCTTTTGCCTTTTTTTTTTTTTTTTTTTGAGACAGAGTCTCACTCTGTTGCCAGGCTGGATAGAGTGCAGTGGTGCTGTCTCGGCTCACTGCAACCTCTGCCTCCTGGGTTCAAGCAGTTCTCCTGCCTTAGCCTCCCAAGTAGTTGGGACTACAGGTGCGTACCACCATGCCCAGCTAATTTTTGTATTTTTAGTAGAGACGGGGTTTCACTGTGTTGGCCAGGATGGTCTCGATCTTTTGACCTTGTGATCCACCCGCCTCGGCCCCCCAAAGTGCTGGGATTACAGGCGTGAGCCACTGTGCCCAGCTGTCTTTTGCCTTCTAACTTGTGGTTTCTGTCAACTGGAGATTATATCTAAAAGCTTTGATTGGGTTAGGTTAAACATTTTGGGGACAAAGACTACTTTGTAAGTGATATGGATTAGGTTCGGGTTAAACACTTGGGGGGAGGAATATTGTTGGGTTTTTTGTTTTTTTTTTTTTTTGGAGACAAGGTCTTGCGGTAGCCCAGGCTGAAGTGCAGTGGTTCGATACTGGCTAACTGCAACCTTGACCTACCCAACTCAAGCAATCCTCCTCCTGCCTCAGCCTCCCAAGTAGCTGGGACCACAGGTGCATGCCACCATTAACTTTTTTATTTTTATAGAGATAGAGTCTCACCATGTTTCCCAGGCTGCTCTCACACTCCTGGACTCAAGCAATCCTCCTGCCTTGGCCTCCCAAAGTACTAGGATTATAGGCCCGAGCCACCATGCCCAGCGTATAGTATTCTTTATAGGTGATCTTAAATATTTCATACAGCATTACATAAGGAAGGCAATATTGTTTGGTAGTACTTAAATTGAGTAAAGGTTACAGTTTGTAAATAGTGTTAGAAAGTAATATTTTCCCCTTTGTAAGAGCAAGTGACTAATGGAGTAACATTTAGAAATCATGCCTGTATATCTAGTTTCCCATTAACCTTTGCCTGCGTGTTTTAGCATCTTTGCCTGAGTCAGTTACTTAATCAGGAGTTGCTAAGATTTTTTCTAATTTTTCTAATTTTTTTTAGCATTTATTACTGGCTGCCATGCTTTTGTACAGATGAGCTTTTGCTCATGAGTTAGGGTTGTTTGGTTATCCTTAAACTTATTTTTTTCTTTTTCAGACAGGGTCTTACTCTTGCTGAGACTGGAGCACAGTGGCTCAATCACAGCTCACGGCATCCTCCAACTCCTGGGCTTAAGCAATCCTGCCTCAGCCTCTCAAACAGCTGGGACTATAGGCACACCACACCACCCTTGCCTGGCTAATTTTTAAAAACTATTTTGTAAAGATGGCAGTCTCACTGTGTTGCTCAGGCTGGTCTTGAACTCGGGGCTCACACAATCCTCCCGCCTTGGCCTCCCAAAGTGCTGGGATTACGGGCATGAGCCACTGTGTCTGGCCATCCTTAAACGTTACACAGAGATGCAATTTTTATGGAAAAGGAGTAGAGGATGAATTCTTTTCTATAATTACCAATTTTCAGAGTAAGGCCTCTGTGGTAGTTCCATGCCTGCTTGCCCTCAGATCTATTCATTGCCCTTCCCTACCTAGAAGGTGGGCTGGGAGAGGGAGAGGGTGACCCGTACAGTTTCCCTTCCCTGTCTTCTATCTCCCGACAGTGGAAGATTGAAGAGAATGAAGGTCATAGCCACGGTATCCCCCCAGTCAACTCTTGGGTTTCTAGGATTTAGTCACTTTATTGTTTGTTCATTTTATTATTATTTTTTTAATTTATGGAAAGCAATTACTTTTTTAATTCATGAGGCTGATACCAAGTTTTCTTTTAAAATAAATTTAAATAATAACTGTGATTCTTATAGATAATATACACAAGAGGCAAAAATTATGTAAGAGGTCCACGATCTAAAGATTAGGAAACTGCTTGAGCAGATTCGAGTGTGGAAATCGACAGTGTCAGTGCGATTGAACAGAGGGACTGGATATGGGTTGTTAAGAAGCTGAACAGACTTCCTATTAAATTGAAGGTAGAAGCAGAAGAGGGAATCTAGGATGTTTCCTGGTTTCCTGGCCTGAGTGAGTGTGCCTAAGACAGAGATAGGAAATACACGAAAGGCACACCTTTTGTTTCTGTTGCTAGTGAAGAATCAGGTTCAGATATTAAGGAGAGGTAGATACTGAATTAAAACGTGTATTTTTTTCCAGTCATTTTAAGAAGGTAGGGGTTTAACATGTTTAACAAGGCTAATAGAATATGCAGCAATGCATTCTGGATAGTGAGCTGGAGTAGAAGAAAGCGAGTGAAAGTAGTTTCTGTGAGGGAAATTCACGCATGACCCATTTTATTGCTTTAAACACTTTTCTGACACTTTGTATAAAGTAGTGCTCAATAAGAATTGGTGAACTTGGGTCTAAAAAATGGACTCTTTCTTCTGTTTCTGTTTCTGTGCTGGTATGTTTCTTATTAATGTCTGTTTTCTACAGCACTCTTTTGCTGTCTCTTTGATCTCAAGGATTATTCTTTGATTAGCAGAGTTGCAAAGCTCAACTCCATAAAAAATTTTTTGGAAAACCTGATAGGATAGTTACAGATAATAATTTGATTATTTTTTTAATTTATCATCAAAGTGCAGATTTTTTGGGGTTTTAACTAAATACTTCTATTTAGAGCCCATTTTGGTGATCTAAATCAGAATTTATTACCTTTACATTTTTTGTAGAATGGCTTTAAGTGTCATTGTATGTCCGAATCTCATCAGAGACAACTATTGCTGGCTTCAGAAAATCCTCAGCAGTTCATGGATTATTTTTCAGAGTAAGTAACTCAAAGAACGCTTTATCTTACAAGCTTTATTCAGTTGAACATTTAATAGGTGGCTAATAGTTCAAATATTGGAGGTGCTATTATTTCTTATATGTGAACACAAGTGTATTCTCTCTTTGCTCAATTTTTATCTTCTTTTGAACGTTAATCATAGTGTAAAACTCTTACAAAATTATTTCTCACAACTTAGTTTTTCCTTTCTTCCACTTCAGATGTGGGAAACTGTCTTTCATTCTAACACAATCGTGACAAAGAACATAGGCTCTGCATTCAGACTGCCCAAACTCAGATCCTTCTCCACTTAAAAACTGTATGCCTTTGGATGATCTGCTTAAGTTTTTCTCTGGTTTGTTTTCCTCATCTGTAAAATGGCACTAAAAAGCCAGGCGAGGTGGCTCACACTTGTAATCTCAGCACTTTGGGAGGCTGAGGTGGGTGGATCAGGAGGTCAGGAGTTTAAGACCAGCCTGGCCAAGATGGTGAAACCCTGTCTCTACTAAAAATACAAAAAATATTAGCGTGGTGTGTGGGCGGGCACCTGTAATCCCAACTACTTGGGAGGCTGAGGCAAGAGAATTGCTTGAACCCGGGAAGCGGAGGTTGCAGTGAGCAGAGATCGCACCATTACTCTCCAGCCCAGGTGACAAGAACGAGACTCTGTCTCAAACACAAAAACAAAAACAAAAAACTGTACTACTGCAAAGATGATGCTATATGTTTGTAGAAATTACCTTAATGCTTCCTTTCTTTCTTTATTAGGGAATTCCGAAATGACTTCCTAGAACTTCTCAGGAGACGCTTTGGTAAAGATTTTAAGTGTTGTGCAAATTATACCTTTATAAATCGCATAATCCTCTCAGGATCATCAGTGTCATATTTCGTTCTCAGGCACTAAAAGGGTCCACAACAACATTGTCTACAATGAATACATTAGCCACCGAGAACACATCCACATGAATGCCACTCAGTGGGAGACGCTGACCGATTTTACTAAGTGGCTGGGCAGAGAAGGTACGAATGAGATTTTAAAGTTGCTTTTTCTTTCCCGTTTCTAATCTTCATAGGATGAGACATTTGGAAAAAGAAAAGAGAAAAAAATTGGGTCAATGTTTTATTTGCTGTGTTACTTGATTCCATGTTGGGAGCATAAGTTCTGTATTAAGTTAATAGAAGACCACATAACCATTTGATATTAGCTACTTAGATAGAATTGAATAAATATTACGCAAGATAATAGTTGTCTCTCCATATCCCTGGGGTGTTGGGTCCAGGACCCCCTGCTGGTACCAAAATTCACAGATGCTCAAGTTCGTTATATAAAATAAAATGCTGGCCAGGCGCAGTGGTGTATGCCTGTAATCTCAGCACTTTGGGAGGCTGAGGCCGGTGGATCGCAAGGTCAAGAGATCGAGACCATCCTGGCCAACATGGTGAAACCTGTCTCTACTAAAAATACAAAAATTAGCCGGGCATGGTGGTGCGCACCAGTAGTCCCAGCTACTCAGGAGGCTGAGGCAAGATAATCGCTTGAACCCGGGAGGCGGAGGTTGCAGTGAGCTGACACTGCGCCACTGCACTCCAGCCTGGTGACAGAGCGAGACTCCATCTCAAAAATAAAAACAAACAAACAAATATAAAATGGTGTAGTAATTGCATTTAGCCTGTGTACATCTTCCCGCATACTTTAAATCATCTCTAGATTTCTTATAATATTTAACACAATGTAAATGCTATGTAAATAGTTTTTTCTATGGTTAGGAAAAAATGGCAAGGAAGAAATGTCAGTGCATGTTCAGTGCAGATGTGACCATCCATTTTTCTGTTTTTGAATATTTCTGATCCTCAGTTGGTTGAATCCACATATAGTATCTTAATTTCATTAAGTGTAAATATGGAAAATTCCATACGCTGCATAAATTTGTGTATTTGAATGTATATGAGTGTATTTGGTGTTTTGTTTTGTTTTGTTTTTGAGACTGAGTCTCGTTCTGTTCCCCAGGCTAGAGTGCAGTGACGTGATCTCATCTCACTGCAACCTCTACCTCCTGGGTTCAAGCAATTCTCCTGCCTCAGCCTCCCGAGTAGCTGCGATTATAGGTGTGCACCACCACGCCCGGCTAATTTTTGTATTTTTAGTAGAGATGGAGTTTCATCATGTTGGCCAGGCTGGTCTCAAAGTCCTCACCTCAGGGGATCCACCCGTGTTGGCCTCCCAAAGTGCAGAGATTACAGGTTTGAGCCACTGCACTCGGCCTGATTTGAGCATGTTTGAATGAATAAATACGCAGAGATGAAACACATTTATATTTATGTTTTGCTTAGATTGTATGCTAATGTATGGCGGCTGCTGTGTTTTTAAGGCTTGTGCAAAGTGGACGAGACGCCAAAAGGCTGGTATATTCAGTACATAGACAGGGACCCAGAAACTATCCGCCGGCAACTGGAACTGGAGAAAAAGAAAAAGCAGGACCTTGATGATGAAGAAAAAACTGCCAAATTTATTGAAGAGCAAGTGAGGAGAGGCCTGGAAGGGAAGGAGCAGGTGGGCGAGCAACATCGGCCTGAAAGGCCATGTCCAGAAGTCTAAAGAAGCACAGTGGCTTGTGCTTTTAACATTGAACCGAGCTTCTGTGGGCACCATACCTTAACTAAGAGGAGAACCAGCCTGGGGTCAAAAGCACAGTTTTTGGCATTGACAAACCTTGGTTTAATTCCTGACTTTCTGACTTTATGATCTTGTATAATTACATAATCTTTCTAAAGCTCGATTTCCTTATATCTAAATAGAGACACCACCTAATGGGAAGACGTTTACACAGATAATTTGCACTAATTATAAGTAATTCAGTACTGGAGGTAAACACGTGTGGCAACGTAGAGAAGCGATGTGAACTCCAGCCTGGGGAGGACAGAGAGTATTTGAGGGTGGATACAACCCCAGTGCTGAGGAGTCTTGAACAATCAGTGAGTGCAAGCCAGGTGAATGGGAGCGGGAAGGAGCTGAGGCATTAGAATAACTAGATTGAGGCGTTTATTTCAACACATATTTATCGGCACCTCCTCTGTGCCAGGCCTCTTCGAGGTGCAGGGAATACTCAGTTAACAAAAGATTAAAAAAACTCTCCTGTGGCCTATATTCTTTTTTTTTTTTGAGATAGAGTCTCACTTTGTTGCCCAGACTGGAGTGCAGTGGTACAATCTCGGCTCACTGCAACCTCCGCCTCCCAGATTCAAGCGATGCTCATGTCTCAGCCTCCTGAGTAGCTGGGACTCCAGGCACAAGCCACCAAGCCTGGCTAATTTTTTTATTTTTATTTTTAGTAGAGACCGGGTTTTGCCATGTTGGTCAGGTTGGTCTCCGACTCCTGACCTCAGGTGATCTGCCCTCCTCGGCTTCCCAAAACACTGGGATTATAGGCGTGAGCCACTGCGCCCTGCCTCCTGTGGCCTCCATTCTAACAGCTGTGTGTGAGCAGGCAGATACAGCCTGGTGTGTATGTGAAACTACTAGCTGTGGGGTGTTTTTCGAACTGTTACTATTGAGCTCTAACGTACATTGATTAAAGTGTATGAGGTGCATTAATCTTATGTGTGTAGTTCAGTGAACTTTCACAAATATGCATGTGTAGAAAGAGTGACAGACGACCTGTGGAGCCAACACCCAGATAAAGATAGAGAGTGTTTCCAGTGTCCCCGAGGGTTTCCTCAGGGTCATTGCCAGGTACTCCACGATACCACTGGTGATTATTCATTAGGTTCAGCTGTTCCAGAACACACTAAAAAATAAAAACGAACAAAGCTTTTGCTTTTCCTAAAGCTTATTGCCTTACATTTTTGTTATTGCCTGTTTAAGTTGGAATAGAAATAAAAATATAGGTAAACTTCTGCAGTTTGGTACAGAAAAGCTGCTTTTTAGTGTTTAGAATAAATCTCAGTTGGATAATATTTGCAAAACATGTAAGTTCTAATTTTTTTTTTTTTTAATTTTTATTTTGTTAAGACAGGGTTTCACCATGTTGGCCAGGCTGGTCTTGAACTCCTGACCTCAGGTGATCCACCCGCCTTGGCCTCCCAAAGTGCTGAGATTACAGGCGTGAGCCACCACACCTGGCCTAATTTTCTGCTTTATTATTTGAGAGACTGTCTCGCTCTGTCACCAGGCTGGAAGGCAGTGGCGTGATTGCAGCTCACTATGGCCTTGACCTCTGGTGCTCAAGTGATCCTCTTGCCTCAGCCTCCTGAGTAGGTGGAACTACAGGTGTGCACTACCATGCTTGGCTAATTTACTTAATTTTTTTTTTTTTTAACAGAGATGGGGGTCTTGCTATGTTGCCCAGACTGGTCTTGAACTCCTGGTCTCAATCATTCCTTTTGCCTCAGCTCAGCCTCTTAAAGTGCTGGGATTACAAACATGAGCCACCATACCCAGCCAAAGCGTGTAGTTTCTTTCTTTTTCTTTTTTTTGATGCAGAGTCTCGCTCTGTCACCCAGACTAGAGGGTGCAGTGGCATGATCTTGGCTCATTGCAACCGCCATCTCCCAGGTTCCAGCGAGTCTCCTGCCTCAGCCTTCTGAGTAGCTGGGATTATAGGTGCCTGCCAGCACGCCTGGCTAATTTTGGTATTTTTAGTAGAGATGGGGTTTCGTCAAGTTGGCCAGGCTGGTCTTGAACGCCTGACCTCTGGTGATTTCCCTCACCTCGACTTCCCAAAGTGCTGGGATTACAGGTGTGAGCCACCACACCCAGCCAAAAGCATGTAATTTCTTAATTAGGATCTTAATCACTTGCGTATTAGAGCTCCCTGGCAGCACAGGTCGGAAGTCATAATTTAGGCCTATTGAATGGTGGTGGGAAATGCACTGTACACCAAAACCTTCCAACTCTTTCTTTTTCTTAGGAGGTCCCCACTTTTACGGAGTTAAGCAGAGAAAATGATGAAGAGAAAGGTAGCTTTGTTTTTTCTTTTGTTTATGTTTTTAAACATAGATGCTTTTATATAGGCTTTGTTAAAAACTCCACCTGTCAACATATCTGGGAGCAAGAGACTTAATCAGTCTGAGTTACATTGTTCTTATTGATTTAATGAAAAGGTAATACTAATGAATTGGATAGGATAGCTGTAGCTACAAGTAACAAAATTGACTACAATTAAACGATTTGGAAATATCGTGCTGTAATAAGAATCCCTGCATGTTGTATGAACACAGGGTAGCTGCCAGCCCTCCAGCCATCACATTCAGATTCTGTATTGTTTAGAGGATGGCAGAGAGCATCTCTGGATGCTCTTCTAGAATCCTGTTAGGAGCAAGGATACTTTTCCAAGAAGACCTGCTCCCTTCAATAGATTTCCTTTCAAATGTCATTGGCCAGAACTGTGTCACATGCCCATCCAAAAAACAGTCACTGGGATTATGTTGATTGCTTTAGACAATCAGAATTTACCCCAGAGATGAAGATGGTGTTATGTCCTCTGAACCACAGGCAATGTGGAGACCTAAGCGAAATTGGAGTACTGTTCCCCAGGAGAAGGGGATGGAGTGGAGAAGCAGCCCGTGAGGCCTGCCACAGTGACATGGCGTGGAAGGTTCCTCCCATTCTGTGGGTGTCAGCTGGGGACACTTTACAGAAATGTGTGACCGCCACATAGGAACATTTTAGCTCATGTTTATTGAAAATGTCTTTGAGTTCCTCATGAATACTTTGTAGTATCTTATCTGATAAGTTTTATTATGATTTTCCTGAAATGTACGTATGGAATAATATTTTTTTTTCTAGTCACGTTTAATTTGAGTAAAGGAGCATGTAGTTCATCCGGAGCAACATCTTCCAAGTCAAGGTGAGCTGCATCATTCACAGACCTTAAAACTTTAGGACTTTTGTGAAATGTTGGTTACTGCATTTTAAAGTACTGGGAGTCATTTTTTTTCTAGTTGTAGTTTTCACCTTTTTTTAGTTTTTATTGGTTTTGTTGTTCTTTAGCAATGTTTTGTTTTTTTTAAAGCTATGGGGTCTTGCTGTGTTGCCTAGGCTGGACTTGAACTCCTGGGCTCAAGGTGATCTTCCTGCCTTAGCCTCCCAGTTATCAGTATCTGGGATTACAGCCATACCTGACTGTGCCCAGCTGGCAACTGTTCTTTTCCTATTTGCCTGTCATGAGATGATTCTGTCTTTTGAGGAAAGCCTCAATTTGATGTGTTTTACGTAAAGAAATTTTTGGATCTCCATGAGTCCTTCTCCATTTAATGGTTCTTTGTGTTTCTTTTCCTATCTTAGCTCATGTGTCAGAGTTTAAATGTTAGCTGGGTCTGCATTTTCCTTTTACTTGCTGCATTGTGAGTTTTTTCAGGGCTCAGCAAACGTTTTCTGTAAGGAGCCATGTAGTAAATAGTTTAGGCTATTTTGGCCAGATGCGTTTGCCACGATAACTGAACTTGGCCGTCTTAGTAAGAAAGTAGCTGTGGACAGTGCATGAAGGAATTGAGCGTGGCTGAGTCCCAGTAAACTTATTTACAAAAGCTGGTGGCAGGTGGCAGCTGGCATTTGGCCCTTAGGCTGTCGTTTGCCAAAACCTGGCATATTATGTAGTCAGGTAGTTCTATCCAATTTCTATGTTATCTTCTCTTGCAATTTTTATGTATTTCACCAAATCTTTACTCACTATTTCTGGCCTGCAATGCATTCAGTTTTGTTTTGGAGGTTAAAAAAGATGAGTAAGGCAAGGTACTGCAGTACCAGTATCTACTGGAATTTGCTTTTAAGCTGGGTGATATTTTCTGTTTTACTTAGTACTTGACATTTTTTTTTTTAAGATCAAAGTTTTTTGGGTTTGTTGATAGGTCATTGTTTGTTTACACTACTGAATACCTGGTTAGGAGTCTGGAAGGAGACAGATAGGCTGAATCAGCCAAAAACTTAGATCTTAGAAAAAAACATGTCAAGTACTAAGTGAAACAGAAAATATCACCCAGCTACCTAGCATCATTCTACTATACAGAGCATGGTATCACTGACTGCAGGCATGAGGAGAAGGGCCAGAGAGGTAAAGGTAGCACAGGTTAAATGCTCACAAAGTGCGGATAGTTCTGTAAGAGACGCGGACAGGTACTCCGTGGTTTTCACCGATCTGTAAATTCGTCATGTAACACATTTATTCTACATTGTGAACTCTGCACATCACAGAGCATGTCTGTGTATGGTTCTTGTTAACGAGCATAATTCTCCTGTTCATCAGTACTCTGGGACCAAGCGCACTGAAGACTATAGGAAGTTCAGCATCAGTGAAAAGAAAAGAATCTTCCCAGAGCTCAGCTCAGTCCAAAGAAAAGAAGAAAAAGAAATCTGCACTGGATGAAATCATGGAGGTACAGTTTATGGACTGCATATGGACACCTTCAAACCTGAGGAAAATTAAATCATTTCACCATTTATTAGATTAATGAAAAGTAGAAAAATTATCATATACGGACTAGGGAATAGTGACCTAGCTACATACAGTTCCCTGAACCGGAACTGGAGCCCCTCTAAATAGGTTTGTTTGTTTGTTTTTTTTTTTGTTTTTTTGAGATGAAGTCTCGCTCTGTTGCCCAGGCTGGAGTGGAGTGGCACGATCTCGGCTCACTGCAACCTCCGCCTCTTAGATTCAAAGGATTCTCCTGCCTCAGCCTTCTGAGTAGCTGAGATTACAGGCCCCTGCCACCATGCCCAGCTAATTTTTGTATTTTTAGTAGAGACGGGGTTTCACCCTGTTGGCCAGGCTGGTCTTGAACTCCTGACCTCGAGTCATCTACCCACCTCAGCCTCCCAAAGTGCTAGGATTACAGGCATGAGCCACTGTGCCCCACCTAAAGAGGTTCATTTTTAGGCCTCGGGTTCTGTCTTTAAAACTCCCTGTGCAGTTGTGGTCAGTAGAATGCAGTCAGGAATCGGTCCTCCGTGGCTGGCCTCTCTCCTTCAGCTGCTCCTCTCCTGCTGCTTTGACTTCCACTTAGCACCTCCTAGCCAGAAAGCTGGGATGTGTTTTTGCTTTTTTGTTTGTTTGTTTTGTTTTTTGAGACAGAGTCTCTCCGTGCGCAGGCCAGAGTGCAGTGGCACAATCTCAGCTCACTACAGGTTCCTCCTCCCACGTTCAAGAGATTCTCCTGCCTCAGCCTCCCGAGTAGCTGAGATTGCAAATGTGTGCCATCACGCCCGGCTGATTTTTTTATTTTTAGTAGAGATGGCATTTTACCATGTTGGCCAGGTTGGTCTTGAACTCCTAACCTCAAATGATCCACCCACCTTGGCCTCAAATTCCTGGGATTATAGGTGTGAGCCACTGCGCCTGGCCCACTGTGACATGGTTTTAATTTGATTTAGCCCGATGGCTAAGTTTATTTGAAAAATCATTGGAAATACATGATTCTCTATATTTAGGGCCATACTTTGGCTCTAAATCTACTCAAGACTCTAGAGTAATTCTGCAGAAGGCTCTTAATATACTCCTAAATATCCCTTTCTCCGTTCTAACACCTAGCCTACCTTATCAAAGAATTAATAAAATAAGTGGGGGAAGAGAAGAGGCAGGATAGACGAGAAAGAGTAAATGGGTGTAAGAAGCTAATGTTTTTTTCCTTAATGTTATTTCCTCGGTCTTCTCATCTCTTTTCTTCATTGTGAAAGGATAGAAAATGGCCGTTCAGTCTTTTTTTTTGTTGTTTATTTTTGAGACAAAGTCTTACTCTGTCCTCTGTTGCTCAGGCTGGAGTGCAGTGGGTGCAATCCCAGCTCACTGCGACCTCCACCTCCCAGGTTCAAGTGATTCTCCTGCCTCAGCCTCTTGAGTAGCTGGGATTACAGGTGCCCACCACCACAGCCAGCTAATTTTTTGTATTTTTAGTAGAAATGAGGTTTTATTATGCTGGCCAGGCTGATCTTGAACTCCTAGCCTCAGATGATCCACCCGCCTCAGCCCCTCAAAGTGCTGGGATTACAGGTGTGAGCCACCGTGTCCACCTGGCTGTTCAGTCTCTCTGTTCCTAGTCCTTACACCATGCAGGGTGATCTGAAAACCTGAAAGTATCATATAAGGTGAATATACTGGGAAACGGAGTCACTGTTAGGTGCTGCGCATTGTGTAGAAAGAAAAGCAGTCCTTGTTAGTCATGGAGCTTTCACGCTAATGACAGAGCTGTTCAGCACTGAACCAGTAAATGATCATAAAATGCTGAGTGCCAAGGAGGTCTGAGGGTAGGGAGTGGGGAGAGATCCTGTGAACCGTGCCTAGACAGGGACCATCAGGCATCTGAAGGGAAGGCCCAGGGGGCTAGAGTGCAGCAAGCACAGGGCAGCGTTTGAAGTTAGAGAGCCAGGAGGGCCCACACTACAAGGTCTTGCATGCAGTGACAGGGATATTTCTAATTTAATTTTATTCAGAGTAAAATGAAAGCCAAATCTTTGAATATAACGCATACTAAATTTAGAATGTTGTTTGTTGAAAAGTTGAAGGATTGCCGGGCGCAGTGGCTCACGCCTGTAATCCCAGCACTTTGGGAGGACGAGGCAAGTAAATCACGAGGTCAAGAGATCGAGACCATCCTGGTCAACATGGTGAAACCCCGTCTCTACTAAAAATACAAAAAATTAGCTGGGCATGGTGGTGCGTGCCTGTAATCCCAGCTACTTGGGAGGCTGAGGCAGGAGAATTGCCTGAACCCAGGAGGTGGAGGTTGCGGTGAGCTGAGATCGCGCCATTGCACTCCAGCCTGGGTAATGAGCGAAACTCTGTCTAAAAAAAAAAAGAAAGAAAGAAAGAAAAGTTGAAGGATTTAAAATAAAGGTTTTTTTTTTTTTTTTTTTGACATGAAGTGTCACTCTGTCTTCCAGGCTGGAGCGCAGTGATGTGGCCTTGGCTCACTGCAACCTCCGCCTCACAGGTTCAAGCAATTCTCCTGTCTCAGCCTCCCGAGTAGCTGGGAATACAGGCGTGTGCCACCACGCCCGGCTAAGTTTTGTATTTTTAGAAGAGATGGGGTTTCACCATGTTGACCAGGCTGGTCTCAAATTCCTGACCTCAAGTCATCCACCAACCTCTGCCTCCCAAAGTGCTGGGATTACAAGCCTGAGCCACCATGCCCAGCCGAAAACGAGGTTTCAAGTCAACCGAGGGATTATTGCATTGTTGGATCCCACTGAAAATTGGTACTTAGAGTTAACTGCAAGCAGTTGAGAAAGAAAACGGTGTTTTCGCCCTACCAGCCAGACAGCGTTCTTTTCTTTCAGTCACTCTCATTTATTTATCTCTTGGTGTTTTTCTTCCGTTTCAGTCGTGAGCTTTACTGTCATTTTCGAGCAGGGAACCCCCTGTTTGCTACCAGGCTGCACACTTAACCATGCTGTACTGCATTGAGCCATGCGCTAGGATTTTACTGCATGAAAACATGCGCTCTTTTCCAGCTCCTGACAGTCACTGGGAGACACGGTGGGTGAGGCAGGTGCTGGCTGGTCTTGCGGCCGAAGAGAGGATGTTTCTGTTTGCTTACTAGGTCAGACTTTTAAAAATGAAAGTTTGTTTTTAAATCAAAAACTAGTGACAAATCATGTTTATTTGTATGGATCAGAGCTTGCAAGTTATGTCATTGGTCTTCTGTGACGTAGAAGACTTCACAGTTTTATGGTGTTATTTTGCTAAATAGAATGGTATTTTGAAATCAAATAAGTATTTTAAGACATTCTTATATGTTCTATAGATTGAAGAAGAAAAGAAAAGGACTGCCCGGACGGACTACTGGCTACAGCCTGTAAGTATTGAGCTGGAGTTTCTCAAGTTCTAAATGTACATCTGAGTGAACGATTTAAGTAACATTTTGTATAAGTAACTAAACTTTTCAAACATGTATAATCAATACCAATAGAATTAGTTATTCCTTATAATGACTTTTCTTCCTGTTAGATCTTTAATCATTGGTTGCATCCCTATTGGAGGTTACTTCATGTTTATAGACCAATAATATCCCTCAAGTTTAGTGCTCAATTTGTTTATGGACATCTTGAATTTGAGCCTGGAATTTTCAATTTTTGCTATAGGACAAAAGGTTGTATTTTCAGAAATGAGATCAAAAAGTAAACTGTAAATGCTCAAGTGTTGGTTTTCAATTTACAACTTCCTGGAACTAGAATGTCCATTTATTAATATGTATGTCGTAGAGAAAAGCAGGTTTTAATTTTACCAACTCAAGGGAGCTTTATATTTTATTGCTTATTTATTATTGCTTATCATTTTTTTTTTTTTTTGAGACGGAGTTTCGCTCTTGTTACCCAGGCTGGAGTGCAATGGCGCGATCTCAACTCACCGCAACCTACACCTCCTGGGTTCAGGCAATTCTCCTGCCTCAGCCTCCTGAGTAGCTGGGATTACAGGCACGTGCTACCATGCCCAGCTGATTTTTTGTATTTTTAGTAGAGACGGGGTTTCACCATGTTGACCAGGATGGTCTCGATCTCTTGACCTAGTGATCCACCCGCCTCGGCCTCCCAGAGTGCTGGGATTACAGGCTTGAGCCACCGTATTGCTTATCATTTTAAAATAATAATTTAAAAATAGTTTTTAAACATTTTAAAATGTTTTTAAATATTATTACTTATTAATGCTTGATTTTAGACTTACTGAGACATGACATTTTCATAAAACTTTCAGAGGGTCTTATTCTTATTTCGGTTTTTAAATAGAGACAGGGACTTGTTTTATTGACCAGGCTGGTCTCAAACTCCTGGCCTTAAGTGATCCTCCCACCTCAGCTTCCAGAGTAGCTAGGAATACAAGCATGCACCATTAATGCCCTGCTAATTTTTGTGTTTTCTGTAGAGACAAGGTTTCACTGTGTTGCCCAGGCTGGTCAGTGATCCTCCTGCCTCAGCTTCCCAAGGTGTGAGGATTATGGGCGTAAGCTACTGTGCCTAATTTTTAAACTCAGAAAGAAAATATTTTTAACAGATCTACTGTGGGCAAGGGCCAGTAAGTACAGTGATGTAATGAATTATCTTCCAATTACTGGAGTATGAACCCATGAGAGCCTTTGACAAATTAGCCCAGAAAATAGTATGGCTAAATTGGAGAAGTTGTTTTGGCATTAATTGGCTTCATTTAGAAAGTCTTAAAAGAGAGACTTCAGAATAAGATCATTTACGTTTTCCTTAAACATGTCTTTCTACTATTAAATACCCTCTCCCCAAAGTCCTTACTGAAGTTTTGTTAATATGATTTTAAGTATGGCTTTATGAAGGATTTGTGACCATCTCTTTGATTTATTCACTTGAAGTAGCAAATATAGAATCACTGCAGTGAATATTGCATTGTTAGGCAATTTAATTTTCGTTATTAGCTTTTAGACAGCTAATCCAAATCAGGAAATCAATGATAAAGAAGCAGACTTCAAATTCATTAATATGAAATAAGCCCAGATTTCCCTCCCATTTGAGAATTAGATGCTTAGAAGAACAATACCTTAGCTATAACTAATATGGAGGAATTTCATTTGTATCAAAATTCAAAGCAACCTAATGTGAAAGAGGCATTGTGCCAACTCTGCTGCATAAGCTCCAAGACTCAGTGCCTTGCAGTTTCCAGTGAGTTTCTTGCAATCTGAGTTTTGATCAGCAGTGAATACCTCAGTGCTTTTTCACTTCCTGGAATGGAGAGAAAGAAACTATCTATGAAAGACACCAAGTACTGAAGTTGATATACTCAGATAACAGTCCTAGATTTCCAGAAATCTTCAACGTAGAAATTAGACATTTTGTGCATATATATATATATATATATATATATATATATATTTTTTTTTCCCCCTTGCTAACCACGTTGAACAAAAAGGGGAAGAGGGAATAAAAGATTGCTAAGGAAATGTTTGCCATCATTGGGAAGGCAGAGAACTCCAGCATTTCTTCTTTGGCAGAGCAGTTACCTTTTCCTGTGGTTTTTGGTGAACATAGTTTAAAAGGAAGAAGGAAATTACAAATAATAATTTCTGTCTTTCCTTTTATCTTTTTGTTGTTTTTTTATTTTCTAGGAAATTGTTGTGAAAATTATAACCAAAAAACTGGGAGAGAAATATCATAAGAAAAAGGGTATTGTAAAGGTAAGGACATGCAATTACAAATGGAATTTGTGAAAAAAGCTAGGGTCAGTGAGTGAAGCTATTTTGGTATTTCTTGAAAATCAGGTCTTAGTAGAGAAGTACTGTGTCTAAAATTTTTGATTATTCCATGAAATGGAAGCTGTATTCATGATTGTTGGAGAAATATTTCTTTTTCATCCATAGTTTGTACTTAACGTTGGTCTCTTTTCTTACTAGGACAGATATATGTATGAAGTCCCATCAGCACCTCTTTAAAACCTCAGCATACATGCCTTGCTTGTCAGTAAAATGTATTTTATTTTTTAATCATAAGCCATATATTAAAAGTAATGGCAAAAACAGTAATTAACTTTTACACCAGCCTAATAATTATACTCTCAGGTCTCAAGAGGACTTCTTGTATTGTGCCTGAGAGACTATCTTTTGGATATTCTGGGATTTAATTTATTTTTATGTTTATTTTTGAGATAGGGTCTGGCTCTGCTGCCCAGGCTGGAGTGCAGTGGCGGGATCTCAGGTCATTGCAACTGCTGCCTCCCTGGTTCAAGTGATTCTCTTGCCTCAGCCTCCCAAGTAGCTGGGCTCACAGGCACCTGCCACCATACCCCGCTAATTTTTCCATTTTTAGTAGAGATGGGGCTGCACCAAGTTGGCCAGGCCGGTCTCGGAACTCCTGACCTCAGGTGAACCACCCGCCTCAGCTTCCCAGAGTGCTGGGAATTACAGGTGTGAGCTACCGTACCTGACCTACTTTGGGATTTTAAAGTTTGTATCAGCATTCTAGGCCTTTTCTCGCTTTTTGCCTTTCCTAAATTTCGTTTTATTCCAGCACCCAGCCTTGCGCCTGGCTCAACTGCCCTTCTTCCCCTGTATATTAAGCTAGGCAAAACTACCCCACTTGCTGGATTGCTTAAAGCCTTACTCTAGGACCGCCAATCTGTTATTCTTTCCAGATGAAAACCTTAGCTAAGCTTTGTTCTTTACTGAGAACCATAGATGGAATCTAGAAAATGGAGCCATTTATAGGAGTCACTCTTATCTTTTGATTGGTGTCTTATTTGTCTTCATTTCATTTACTTTTGTCCTTTTAAACAACTGTGCACATATTTCTTTTATTATAAAGTGTTCGTTTTACATGACAGGAAGTAATCGATAAATATACAGCTGTTGTAAAGATGATTGATTCTGGAGACAAGCTGAAACTTGACCAGACTCATTTAGAGACAGTAATTCCAGCACCAGGTAAATCTGTCTGCAGACTGTTTAATACATATGCCTTTAAAATGGGTGGTTCCATTCTTAACTGATGGTTGTCGTTATTTTTATGTTTCAGCAATATTAACCACTGGTGTAACTCACCTCTATTTGGCTTCAAGGGTGTTGTAGTTTACCGGCTCTCTGATGAAGCTGTTTTGTGGTGTGAATGGATTTTCTTTTCCTGGAATACTTTTTTTTTTTCCTGAGGCACAACATAGACATATATGGATGACATTTGTTACATTAAGCTTGGGGTTATAGCTTGAGAATCTCTCATCTGAAATACTTGGACCAGAAGCGTTTCCAATTTTGGATTTTGGAATATTTGCGTATATATAATTGGATATTTTGGGGATGGAACCCAAGTCTTAACACAAAATTGATTTATGTTTTATTTGATTTTTATTTTTATTTATTTATTTAGAGACATAGTTTCACTCTGTTACCCAGGCTGGAGTGCAGTGGCAAGATCTTGACTCACTGTAACCTCCACCTCCCAGGTTCAAGCGATTCTCCTGCCTTAGCCTCTTGAGTATTTAGGACTACAGGCTGCACCACCACATGCAGCTAATTTTTGTATTTTTAGTAAAGCCGGGGTTTTACCATGTTGGCCAGGCTAGTCTCGAACTCCTGATGTCAAGTGATTCACCCGCCTCTGCCTCCCAAAGTGCTGGAATTAGAGGTGTGAGCCACCGCACTCAGCCTCATTTATGTTTTATATATACCTATACACATAGCCTGAAGGTAGTTTTATACAATATTTTAAATAATTTTGGTTGCATCTTGACAGTGACCTGTCACAGGACATCAGCTGTGGAATTTTCCACTTGTGACATGATATCAGCACTCAAAAGGTTTGGATTTTGGAGCTTTTCAAATTTTGGATTTTCAGATTAGGGATGTTAAACCTGTGATATATTTGTTTAGCTCTCTGTGATACTCAAGTGAAAGTCTGTGTTATTTTGCTTTTCCCCCCTTGGTGTCTTTGCTCTTTGGAAACTTATCCATATCTGAATACAAACACTGCTTTGACCGGGTTTTGCCTCTGATTCAAAATCTTCCTGGGGGTCTCATTGCCAATGCAGTGATAACATCGGTCTCTGGAACTTCCAATTATCATATTCTTTATTCTTTTTCCCCCTAAAGTAAAAACCCTTTTTACAGATTAGGAAAATTTCTGTTAGCTGAGTTGTGGTATAATTGATGTGCAATCAATCACACTTATGTAGAGTATACAATCGGGTAAGTTCTCACATGTGCCTGCTTCCGTAAAACCATCACTACAATCAAGACGATGAATGTATTCCCTATTTCCCTCTCCAATCCCTCCCTCCTGCCTTCTGCTCCTGGGTCCTCTGTCTTCCTAGCCATCTGCTGACATGCTTTCTGTCACTGTAGTTCAGCTCATATTTTTCTAGACTTTTCTATAAATTAAGTTTATATAAATATAAGTGTGTCCTGTTTTCCGGTCTGGCTGCTTTCACTCAGCATAATTATTTTGCATTCACCTACGTGGTTGTATGTATCTGTAGCTCATTCTTTTTTCTTGCTGTATGTTTCTTGTCATTGTATGGACATGCAGTATTCCCTCCTTATCCTGTGCCTTCTAAGATCACCAGTGGATGACTGAAACTGTGGAGAGTACCAAACCCTCTATGTACGATTTTTTTTCCTACATACATAACTATAATAATGTGAATTAGGCATAGTGAAAGACTGAGAACAGTAACTAATAATCAAATAGAGCAATTGTAATCCTATACTATAATAAAAGTTATGTGAATGTGGTCTTTTTCTCTCACAATGTTTTAATGTACTGTACATACCTATTTTCAGACCACGTTGACTGAGAGTAACCAAAACCTGGGATAAGGGGAGACTACTGTACCCGTTTGTTTATCTGCTCATCTGTTGATAGGCATCTGGCTTATTTACAGCTTTTGGGTATTAAAAATAAAACTGCTGTGAACATACATGTGCAGAGCTTTGTGTGGATATGTGGTTTCCTTTCTCTTGGGTAAATACATAGAATGCTTCACTCACATGGTAGGCATAAGTTTAAATTTTTATAAAGCTGCCAAACCATCCTTATGAATTTTGCAGAAAGACAAGGTAAGCTAAATTTTCTCTGATTACTTCTGGACTCTGAACATTTTCTCCAAGTACCTTATACTCCTTGCAGTCTGAAAGTAAAACATAGATATCCCTTTAACAAATAACTGGGAAATGAGAAGTCTTATGACATTCGAGTAGTCAGAGGATCCACACACTGCACTAAAAGACCACACACTTCTGAAATGATTGAGAACGTCTAAGGAAAAGCGATTTCTTTTTCATTATGTTTATTCCGTGTGGTACACGTTGCTGTAACAAGTTAGAAGAAAAGTGGAGATATTTCTTTGCATTAAGTTTTATATTGTTTTCCATTGTAGGAAAAAGAATTCTAGTTTTAAATGGAGGCTACAGAGGAAATGAAGGTACCCTGGAGTCCATCAATGAGAAGACCTTTTCAGCTACTGTAGTCATTGAAACTGTAAGTTTGTTTACACGAAGACAAAAATTTCAAAATGCTTTAAAAATGTGCCATAATTCTTTTTAACTGGATTGTTCTTTATTTTAGAATGTGAGTTTTTTGTTAGCCTTCTATCCTCTTTGGAAATCCATAAGCTTATTTTCTCCAGTGACTCTGCCACTGCTAAAGTATTTTATGTTCTGATTACATGTATTCATGCATAAAAGCTGAAAAACATAATTTAATATAAATAGTTATAAAAATTAACCATAATTCCCCAGCCCAACAATAAACCCCACTAGTATTTTGGTCTGTTCCTTTCCAATCTGGGTATTTTATGAAAGTGTGTATAATAGGTACAGTTTTGTATCCTTTTTTCCCCTCATCTCGAATATGAAACTCAATGTGGCGTAGTGAAGTTGTGGGAAGTATAGTCACTGTCAGGAGAGGGTTAACCACAGAAGCCAACCACTTTTTAAAATGTCTTTCCTTTTTTCATAAAAGATTCAGGGGTAGCAGAGATCAAATACAGTCATTTGAAGAACTCTGACATATAAATAAAGTGGTTTAGGCCGGGCGCGGTGGCTCATGCCTGTAATCCCAGCACTTTGGGAGGCCAAGGCGGGTGGATCACGAGGTCAAGAGATCGAGACCATCCTGGTCAACCTGGTGAAACCCCGTCTCTACTAAAAATACAAAAAATTAGCTGGGCATGGTGGTGCGTGCCTGTAATCCCAGCTACTCAGGAGGCTGAGGCAGGAGAATTGCCTGAACCCAGGAGGTGAAGGTTGCGGTGAGCTGAGATTGTGCCGTTGCACTCCAGTCTGGGTAACAACAGCAAAACTCCATCTCAAAAAAAACAAAAACAAATAAAGTTGTTTATTGACTTAGGACTGATATTTCACTGACAGGTATATGAGTGAGGCCCAAGATACCTTCAGGAAGAAAGATTCCTTTTAGACCTCTGAGCTACTGCGCTGCATCTCCTTGCTGCTAAACAAAAGAAGTTTTCATCTCCAGTACAGTCAGTTTTAGGATTTCCGGGGGAGCTTGGGAGTCATAGATACTTAGAGAGTTTAATGAAACTTTAGACTCTTCAAAACATTGCACATAATTTTATTTGTTCTATTGGGGGCCTTATAGGCCCCCTAAGCCCATGGACCTGTTACAGAATATGTGCCTAGGAAGGTTTTCTGGAAAAACCATTTAGGTCCTTATTTCAGAGAACTCTGATCCTGACAATGCTAACCTGGAAACTGGTACTTGCCAAGTGTTATTCACTATGTAAACTAAGGGGGTGAGAAGGAAAACAGGACTCTTGGCATGGAAGATTGTGGCAGTCTGACTAAATTCACAGATTGAGTGTTAACAAAAAACTCTGTAAGGTTTTCTCTGTATAAGGCAATAGAAAATCAACTGTTTTCTTGACAACTTGCTTATCCTTCCCGTATTATTATTATTATTATTATTATTTTTTTTTTAATTTTTATTTTTTTGCATGGACCATACATGAAACCTGCCTTATTAATTTCATGGCGCTATCACATGCAGATCCTGTTTCACGTTTTCATCTCAGGGAAGCACACCACAGCTGACCACTGCCGAGGCTGGGTTAAGTTCCATCCCGACACCTGTGGTTTGCAGGTTGCATCATCATCAGGAGCTAGTTTCTCACCTTCCGCACTGTAGACCCAGTGTCATCTCCTGTACTGAGGTAGAGCTTAGGAGCAAATCCACATGAAAAGCCTTTCTGTTTGACTGCAAAGCAACATGTACTTCTTTGAGAAAAGGGAACCTACTAGCCGGGCACGGTGGCTCACACTGTAATCCCAGTACTTTGGGAGGCCAAGGTGGACAGATTACCTGAGGTCGGGGCTTCAAGACCAGCCTGGCCAACATGGAGAAACCCTGTCTCTACTAAAAATACAAAAATTAGCTGGGCATGTTGGTGCATGGCTGTAGTCCCAGCTTGGGAGACCGAGGCAGGAGAATCACTTGAACCCATGAGGCGAAGGTTGTAGCGAGCTGAGATTGCGCCACTGCCCTCCAGCCTGGGTGACAGAGCAAGACTCTGTCTCAAGAAAAAAAAAAAGAAGGGAATCTACCACCTAATTTCTTTCTTCTTTTTTTCAGCCTGCCCTCATTAAAAATAAAAATGTAAGAAAAGCTCTGTATTTGCATGTATATGTCTCATGCTTGCGTTTTCTTCTGAGTCACTTGAATTTGGCAAGTCGTTTTTATCATTTCTGGCATGTTAAGTTTCTATGTCATTGGTAATATTTGAAATTTATACATTTATTAAGAAAATTTTTAACATCTAATAAGTTGTTTCTAAATAGCCTCAGCTTTTCAGCTATTTGTCCTATAAACCTAAATGTCTGACTCCCTTCTTATTCTCCAGATTTATAGTTCTTTTTTTTTTTTTTTTTTTTGAGACGGAGTTTCGCTCTTGTTACCCAGGCTGGAGTGCAATGGCACAATCTCGGCTCACCGCAACCTCCGCCTCCTGGGTTCAGGCAATTCTCCTGCCTCAGCCTCCTGAGTAGCTGGGATTACAGGCACGCGCCACCATGCCCAGCTAATTTTTTGTATCTTTAGTAGAGACAGGGTTTCACCATGTTGACCAGGATGGTCTCGATCTGTTGACCTCGTGATCCACCCGCCTTGGACTCCCAAAGTGCTGGGATTATAGGCTTCAGCCACCGTGCCCGGCCCCGATTTATAGTTCTTATCAGAAAAATGTAATTGACCATAGACCATTAAACATGATAATGAAAAATCCAACCTAGGTCATACTTTATCTGGGAACTTAATTCCTTTAAATATGATAATTATTTGTTGTTAAGAGAAGCAGTAAAAAAATGTTAAAATCTCAGTCCAGGGTTAGAGCCATCATCATTGTCATCAGTACCATCATCATCATCATCACCATGTTATATTTTGCAAGGGAGAGGATTAACTGTCAAATTTTGTTTATTTATTTATTTTTGAGACTGAGCTTCGCTCTGTTGCCCAGGCTGGAGTGTAATGGTGTGATCTCAGCTCACTGCAACCTCCACCTCCGAATTCAAGCAATTCTTCTGCTCCAGCCTCCCGAATAGCTGGGATTACAAGCACTTGTCACCATGCCCAGCCAATTTTTATATTTTTAGTAGAGACGGGGTTTCACCATGTTAATCAGTCTGGTCTCGAACTCCTAACCTGCTGGGATTACAGACGTGAGCACTGTGCCCCGCCCAACTCTCAAATTTTAAACAAAAGATTAAATAGTAATGAGAGTTGAAAATTATCAAGCTCTCACTCGTATTAAATTCCAGGTGTAATCACTTCATATGAAATGACTTACTTATATTTCCCAATAACGCAATCGTAGAGACATTACTATTATCCCCGCTGGGAGATAATGAGACACAGAACTGAAGGACAGAGAGGTTAAATCAGTTGTTGAAAGTGAGATCTGAACTTGGTCCACAGCCCATATTCTTAGTTTCTGTGTTCCCAGGTTATATCTACTTTTGTGATAGAAAATATCTTTCATTAATTAAGTTTTCTTCTTTCCCTTTTTGTTGGATATGAAAGAAGAAAATAAAGTTAGACTGTTGTTATAATCTAGACCAGTGTAACTATCACAGCTGACCTCCACAGACATGTTTGAGTGTCTATAATGCTTACAAAAGGATGTTTTCCATAAAAAAAAGGAGACCCCAAATGGACAGTGGCACAAACATGGGAGAAGTTAACGTTTCACTCTCAAAAGCCCAGTGGGTATTTCTGATCAGGGAACTCTTCTAAGGTACAGTTTTATATTCTTTTTTCCCTCAGATCGAATCTAAAACTGTTTGGCCTAGTAAAATTAGTGGGGGAAGTATAGTCATTGTCGGGAGGGAGGGAAGCAGAGGTCAACCACTTTTTAAAATGTCTTCCCTTTTTTTTCATAAAGGATTTAAGGTAGCAGAGATAATACAGTCAGTAGCGGTTTGTGAACCCAGAGTCCTTCCAGCTAGTGGCTCTACTGCCCTCAAGTGGCATCTCCAGTTGCCATGTCTGTGTGCTTTGGGTAGGCAAGAGGAGCTTGGCAGAAGGTGTGTTGGGGTTAGCGCGCCTCTACCATCACTTCTGTTTGCTTCTGTGCGCTGGAGCTCCATGCCTGGCCACAGCTAACCACAGGGAGCCAGGAAATTAGCTATTTATCCAGGAAGCAGAGGCGATACTGACCGGCTGGCAGGTCTCTGCCACAGTGTGGCATATACATCTATTGATAATGTATGTCAGATGTCACTGAAGAAAATATGGTAGTTCTGAATGAGGATGCCATAGATGATTCTTTTTTTTTTCTTCTGAGACCAAGTCTCACTCTGTCTCCCTCACCGGAGTGCAGTTGTGCAGTCTCGGCTCACTGCAACCTCCACCTCCCAGGTTCAAGCAATTCTCCTGTCTCAGCCTCCTAGAGAATGCCATAGATTATTCTTAAAATTCACAGATGTATAGAAGTGGTAACTACCTCAATGGTATTTTAGGGATACAGAGAGGCAAATTTGTATCCATAAGCGTGGTGTCATTTTTTTGTCTTTTACGAATGTGTGTTTTTAACTTTCTCTTAAATTATTTTAATTTGTAGGGCCCTTTAAAAGGACGCAGAGTTGAAGGAATTCAATATGAAGACATTTCTAAACTTGCCTGAGTTTGAAAATTTGTTAACAATGCATTCAAACCTTAAAGCATCAAATTGGTGTTTACCAAGGCATTATGAGACTCTACCGTGTTAGGGTATTCTTTTGTATAAAAGAAACAGGTTTTTGAAAATATTACTGTATAGTTGTTCAGCTAAACTTTGAGAAAAGTTTAATTATGTCTCACAAAGTATCAAAACTATGTAATTTTGTCCTTATTTTTGTTTCCTTTATAATTTACTTGATGATTTTATATCTTCATTAAAGAATGTTATTGTAAAGTGTTTTATATATGACAATTTAGAATCATATAATTGGAGGAAATCCTTCATACACTCTAAATTTATATTTTCAGTAGTAAAGTTGAACTATAAATGTAAAGGCAGCTTTATTATGCTAATAACTCATATGCCTTGCAGGTCACTCATTTAAAATACACACGCAGCTCAGTAGTTTTTAGTATTTTTGCAGAGTTGTGCAACCATTACCACGGTCTGATTTTAAAAGTTTCAAACCCCGAAATGAAACCCTGTACTGGTCATACCTGTTTTTTTCCCTCTGCTCTAGCTCTAGGCAGCCACTGATGTCTTTTCTGTCTCTGTGGATCTGCCCTCTCTGGACATTTCGTATAAATGGAATCGTATAACGTGATCTTTTATGATTGGCTTCTTACACTTAGCATAACGTTTTCAAGGTTTATCCATGTGGTAGCGTGTAGGTGTACTTCACTTCTTTTCATGGCTTCGTAATATTCCACTGCATGGATGTACTGTGTTTTGTTTATCCATTCATCAGTTGATACACATTTGGATTGTTTCTACTTTTTGACTCTTGTGAATAATGCTGCTGTGATCATCCCTGTACGGGATTTTATGTGGACAGAAACTGTTTTACAGCCCCACCAGCAATGTTGAACTAGACAGTTTTACGTGTTTTTCATTTTTTTATTTTTAGAGACAGGGTCTTGCTATGTTGCCCAGGCTGTTCTTGAATCCTAAGAGCTCATTTGAAAATGTTTATTTTCTTCAGCTGTGTTTACAGGCTTTGTAAACCACCCGATACCTGGTTGGTTTTAGTTATTCAAACCGAAGGATATTTGCAAAAGTGACTGGGAAAATGTATACTTATATATATATATATATAATTTCCCAAACTGGAAACTGTCAAGGGCGTCTGAGAAAGCTGTAGAGCTGAGGCACGAAGTACTCCTTGTAATGCCCGTCGATGAAGCCTTTCCCACTGTTGTGCACGAACCAGCAGGGGACATCCGTTCCAAACACCACGTCCGTTCTGTAGTCTTTCTGTAAGCCTCTGCAAGGAAGCGATGCCCGTGAGTACAGGGAGACTGAGGCATGGCTGGCTGGGCACCTCTAGACACAAGACCCCCTCTTTTCCTTGCTGTTCTTCATGTTCCTTCTGCCACTCACATCTGCCACCCCCCACCTATTGCTGCTCCTCAAGTTGTGTGAAACACCAAATCTGGGGCTTGGTGTTGGAAGGACAGAGAATCAGCAGAGTGCCCTTAGAGAACTCAAAGAACCCTTAGAGTTGACCCACATGGACTTTTCCAGCAAGGGAAACTGTAGCCAATGGAAAGAAGGCAGGAACAAGACCAAAGCCTCCACAGTGTTGAGGCTGACTTCACAGGTCACTTAATGAATCAGTTGGTGGCCAGGCAGGATTGCTCATGCCTGTAATCCCAGAGCTTTGGGGGGCAGAGGCAGGCAGATCATTTGAGGCCAGAAGTTCAAGACCAGCCTAGCCAACATGGTGAAACCCATTCTCTACTAAAAATAATAATTAAAAAATGTTAGCTGGGTGTGGTGGCATATGCCTGTAGTCCAACTACTTGGGAGGCTGAGGCACGAGAATCACTTGAACAATTCTCTGAGGCTGAGGCAGAGGTTGCCGTGAGCCAAGATCACGCCACTGCACTCCAGCCTGGGTGACAGAGCAAGACTCTCTTGAAAAAAAAAGAATGCATTGGAGGCTCCCCTTAACTGCACTTTGTGTGTTTAAGGGTGATACATGCTGTTTCTGAGCAGATTCATACCCTCCACTTGAAGGGCAAAGAAGCCAACAATTTGTAAAGGATTTGGCACGTTGCATGAATGAGCCTTGTAAGTGTATCTCTGTACCCAGCCCACAGGACAGCTCAGTTTCAGTTATGAACCGTAAGGAGCTTGTGGTAGATCAAATAGAGGCCCATCATTTACTTTTTGTCACTATAGTAAATGCATTTATACATATATATATATATATATTTTTTTTTTTTTTTTGAGATGGAGTCAAGCTGGAGTGCACTGGCGCAATCTCAGCTCACTGCAACCTCCGCCTCCCAGGTTCAAGCAATTATTCTGTCTCAGTCTCCTGAGTAGCTACGATTACAGGCGCGTGCCTCCATGCACGGCTAATTTTTGTATTTTTAGTAGAGATGGGTTTTCTGTATGTTGGCCAGGCTGGTCTCGAACTCCTGACCTTGAACTCCTATGCCTGGTCTATTTATATATTATGTATTTATTTATGAAACAGGTCTCACTCTGTCACCCAGGCTGGAGTGCAGAGGCACAACCATAACTCACTTCAGCCTCGAACTCCTGAGCTCAACAGATCCTCTCACCCGAGCCTCCCGAGTAGCTGGGCCACAGGCAGAATCTACTACACCTAGCTAATTATTTTTATGTATTTATTTATTTTGTAGAGATGGTATCCCACCCAGTCTGGTCTTGAACTCCTAGCCTCAAGGGATCCTCCCATATTGGCCTCTCAAAGCATTGGGATACATGAGCCACCATGCCTGGCAGTAGATGCTCTCTTACCAGCTTCAGATAACTTAACATGAACATTAGTTTGTGCTCACCACTGCTTCTGTGACACATGCTCACTGACACCTGTTGGTACGTCGTTCCTTCCGTAAACTGATACTAAGAATCTGTTGTTTTAGTTCACAAATCTGCTTCCGTGGCAGTACTTCCTACTATGATTTTATGGTTTATCATTGCAGTGTTATGGTTTAAGTATGTCAAAGCCAATGACATTTGTGTGGGTGAAGAATCCTTTCTAATAAAGCAAAGTTGGCTGCTTTGTAAGAACTCTAAAAAGGAGGCCGGACGCAGTGGCTCACGCCTGGAATCCCAGCACTTTGGGAAGCCAAGGCAGGCAGATCACAAGGTCAGGAGATCAAGACCATCCTGGCCAACATGATGAAACCCTGTCGCTACTAAAAATATGAAAACTAGCCAGGTGTGGTGGTGCATGCCTTTAGTCCCAGCTACTCAGGAGGCTGAGGTGGGAGAATCGCTTGAACTTGGGGAGAGAGAGGTTGTAGTAAGCCGAGATCACACAACTGCACTCAGCCTGGCAACAGAGCAAGACTGTGTCTCAAAAAAAAAAAAAAAAAAACTCTAAAAAGGGATAAACTGCTTTAAGATGAGATCAAATCCGGCATGGGTGAGACAACTGTAAAGAATTGGGAAAAAATATGAAGATTTGTAAGACTTTTATACCCCGAATACATTACAAGCATCTGAGTTCTCACTTCAGATGAAGCATATGGGGTGGGATACGTAGGAAAAGCTACGAAAAAAGCAGTCAGAAATCTGTGCAAAAGCAAGGCTCTACCCTGATGTAAAAACCTACGTTCATTCCACAGCACTGTGGTAACAGGTGTTTTTAGGATTCCTTTGATCAACGTGTCCAATTATCCAAACTGTGAAGCCCTTGTAAGGGCTTCTAATGTATGAGGAGGACAACAGATTAATCTTGGCATCAAATGACACCCAGATACTCGGTCATTATTTGCATATAAGGTGGGATATCGGAAGTGTCCTTATGTGAATGTTGTGTGTGTGTTTATTCCTAATGAATTGTTTAGTGTGATGTAGGTAGTGCTTACAATGCTGCTTCTTGCTCTTCTATTTTGCTGTGTGGGTCCAATTCTAACACGAGCCCTTTTTGTCACTCTTCTTGCACTTGAGGCCTACCTGGTGACAATCAGCTTCTGTCCTTTCACTTCCATGCTGGCCTCTGGCTTCTTGGGGTCCTTTCCCGGTCTCTCATTGAAGATGTGTATCTTTGGCTCCTGCATGAACTGGCCTGGAGAAACAGAATCAGACATTGATTTACATGTAAAATCATAAGTTAAATAAAAAGACAGGCCCATCATTGACTCCATGCTACATTTGGGTCCACTCTCCAGGATTTCTAGGGTAGAAAGATAAGCTGAGGCCAGGCATGGTGGCTCATGCCTATAATCCCAGCAATTTCGGAGGCTGAGGCAGGCGGATCATGAGGTTGGGATTCAAGACCGTCCTGACCAACATGGTGAAAACCTGTCTCTACTAAAAATACAAAAATTAGCCAGGCATGGTGGTGCGCACCTGTAGTCCCAGCTACTCGGGAGGCTGAGGCAGAAGAATTGTTTGAACCAGGGAGTCAAAGGTTTCAGTGAGCTGAGATCATGCCACTGCACTCCAGCCTGGGTGACAGAGCAAGACTCTGTCTCAAAACAATAGAAATAGAAAAAGAAAAATAAAAAAAGACAAGCTGAGAGGAAAAAGGAGTGGTGATGGGAGGGAGGGTCCCTGGAAGCTCATTTGTGTTGCTCATAATCTCCCTTTTTTTTTTTAAATTTGAGACAGGATCTCACTCTGTCGCCCAGGCTGGAGTGCAGTGGTGCTATCTCAGCTCAATGCGACCTCTACCTCCTGAGCTCAAGTGATCCTCCCACCACAGCCTCCCAAGTAGCTGGGACCACAGGCGGGAGCCACCATGCCTGACTAATTTTTTGTAGAGAAGGGATTTCACCATGTTACACAGGTTGATCTTGAACTCCTGGACCCAAACAATCTGCCTGCCTTGGCCTCCCAAAGTGCTGGGATTACAGGCATGAGCAATTGCACCCGGCCTTTTGTTTTTTTAAATTTAAGAGAGGAGTCTCCCTCTATCACCCAGGCTAGAGTGTAGTGGCACAGTCATAGCTCACTGCAGTCTCCAATTCCTGGGCTCAAATGATCCCACTTCAGCTTCCTGAGCAGCGGGACTCCAGGCAGGATCCAGCACCCCCTGCTAATTATTTAAACTATTTGTATTTTTGAATTTTTTGGTAGAGATGGGGTGCCCAGGCTGGTCTTGAACTCCTCAAGTAATCTGCCTGTCCAGGTCCTAAAGTGCTGGGATTACAGGCATGAGCCATCATGCCTGGAGCTCAAGGTTATTTTAAACATGAGGTTGGTCTAGTCAATCGTAAGTAAATCCAGCACCCTGATGGCAGGACAGTGAGGTCAGCACCTGAGAGCATAGCTCAGGTCACAAGAGCAAGGTTTGTGATGTCACAGGCTTTATATTTGACCCCTTCTTAAAATACTAGGGACAGTTGTCCAGGATGCTCTGCTTGTTATCACAGATGTCCTCAATATGTTCACCTCACTTCAGTTAAAAAAAAATCTTTAACATAAAACTTAGAATGTATGTGTCCCTTCTCTTAACTTGCCCAGTTTGTGATGCTGAAATCCTGGCCCTGGACACCCTTGTCTGGAATGGCAAAAGTTCCTGCTGTTGCATTTCCGAGTGACCCCACGCTGCTATGTTGGTCCTCTGTGCTCTTGAGCCCACACCTGCCATGCCTCCAACTTGTAACCACTGTCAGCCAAACCTGCTAGAGAATTAGCGTGGCCCCACCCTTGCGGGATGGTCGGCAGACACTTTACCTATTAGTCCATGTGCAGTGGGTGAAAACTTGTTTGTAGCGGGTATGTAGATTCCCAGAAAGTCGACATTGATGGGATGCTTCTTCCAGACCCGATGCAGTAAAACAGAAAAGGACATCTCTTTACCCACGGTGATAGTTACCGCTTTTTCTTTCTTTACTGAGGTCAGCACCCTGGTGTGAAGGTCCAAGTGGCATTAAACCATTTCAGAATAGACCTTCCCACAAAGTCCTTCTCTTCACCCCTAATGTGAACTCCAGTTCCGCAAGTTATCTAAGCGCTTACAACAGTTTATAGATAAACGATCCATTAACAGATACTCACTGGGAAGGTTCTACACATAGGACACATCATGGCATTTGGAGCTCACTCTACAGAGTCAGCTGTGGATTTCAGATTCGTTCACTGACCAACACCCCCATGTTGAGTGCTTACTGATGCCAGACACTAGACTAGCGCTCCTGGGACCCAACGGTGACCAGAAACACAGTGCCCACTGCCAGGAGCAGCGTAGTGAGTGAGAACAACTTTTCTGAACCTCAAGTTCCTTATATTTAGAATGATTTTTTTTTTTTTTTTTGAGACAGTCTTGCTCTGTCGCCAGGCTGTAGTGCAGTGGTGCCATGATCTCAGCTTACTGTGACCTCCAACTCCCTGGTTCAAGCGATTCTCCTGCCTCAGCCTCCCGAGTAGCTAGGATTACAGGCATGCGCCATCATGCCCAGCTAATTTGTGTATTTTTTAGTAGAGATGGGATTTCACCATGTTGACCAGGATGGTCTCAATCTCCTGACCTTGTGATCTGCCTGCCTTGGCCTCCCAAAGTGCTGAGATTATAGGCATGAGCCACTGCGCCTGGCGGATGATTTTTTTTTTTAATGCTGATGTCACTGATGCCTGGATTTATTTATGCAGTCATGTGTTAAAGACAGGCCCGAATTCAGAAGGAACCATACTTGCCTCTGATTCATGATTTGAGCAGTGTCGGCCCAGGACAAGGTGGAGGTGCTAGAACCACAGCTCACGGTGATGGTCTTGGTGCTGATTTCTATTTTCATGTCTTCACTTTGGAAATAAAATCCCAGTTTCCCAAAATAGGTGCTTAGTTTTCCATTGTTGGGCTTCTTGGCACCAACAAGCTGACCATTGACTGCAATTCCTACAGAAAAGAAAAAATGATTTTTTCTTGTGTGCCATGTTTTTGGATGTATGGGGACTATAATTCAAATGAATAAAACTTGGCAATATTGGAAAATTATTAGAATTTTCTTTCAGGATTTACATAACGTTTTCTTTGTGATTCTCATTTTATAACATGTATTTTAATATAATAGTTATATAATTTAATAAATTTAATTTAATAATTTTATATCAGTTATAAAATTTATGTCAGGCACAGAATTAAATGTTATTTAATTTAATAAAATTTAATTTAAATAAATTACTATCATATAGTAGTTAATTTTTTTTTCTTTTGAGATGGAGTCTCACTCTGTTGCCTGGGCTGGAGTACAGTGGCCTGATCTTGGCTCACTGCAACCTCCACTTCCTGGGTTCAAGCAATTCTCCTGCCTTAGACTCCTGAGTAGCTGGGATTACAGGTGGGTGCCACCACACCTGGCAATTATTTTTGTATTTTTAGTAGTGGGGGAGTGTTTCGTCATGTTGGCTAGGCTGGTCTTGAACTCCTGATCTCAGGTGATCCACTGCCTTGGCCTCCCGAAATGCTGGGATTGCAGGTGTGAGCCACTGCACCTGGCTGGTATTTAAATTAATTATGTCACAACAAGATCTGCTAGTTCATACTCAGAGAGAGAATACATATTTTGAACTATAGTTGTTCAAAATAGTTAATAATCTATTTATATATTTAATTTATCACTAATTATCACTGAAATAGATAGAACTTCTATTGGGAGAGAAAGAAAGAAATCCCCAGTGGTGACAGGAAAGAATGGCAATGACCTGACTGTCTAATACAAATATAATTTCTTTTTGTTTTACCTGATTCTGGGTCAGAAACCAGGTTGAGGATTTTTCCAGGTTCGGAGTCAATATTGAAACAAATGTTCTTTTGGCTTTTTGGCAGATAAATGATGAAGTGTGGGTCATTTTCAACTGGAAAATACGCAAAGCAAATGTAAACAAAATCACACGCAGGAAGGTGATTGTGAGCGGTGTATCATCCCTGAATATCTCTATGTAACCCGAACAAGCATTTATTGTGCTTCTACTGTATGCTTGGTACTCCTCCAGGCCTTGGGGACAGACCCAGTGGTTCATACTACATTGCCCCTTTGTCAGGGAGCCTTCATCAGAATACGACGTTATTTTACAAAAATAGTGGATATTTATTTTGTAGCTAAAAATGTATGTTCTAGATGAGATGCTAGAGATAAAAAAATGAGTAAGAAAGACATAAGGAATAAGAAATACACACAAATAGGCACCCACATATGTAAGAAACACACACCCGTGCGTGTAGAAAAACAGAGTTGTTGGGTTTTTTTTTTTGAGACAGGATCTCCCTCTGTCACCCAGGCTGGAGTGCAATGTTGTAATCATGGCTCACTGCAGCCTTGACCTCCCAGGCTCAAGTGGTCCTCCCAGCTCAGCCTGCTGAGTAGCTGGGGCAACATCCACGTGTCACCACGGCGGCTAAGTTTTCCAAATCCTGACCTCAGGTGATCCGCCTGCATTGGCCTCCCAAAGTGCTGGGGTTACAGGCGTGAGCCACCACACCCGGCCTCATTCGCATACTTAATGCTTTCCAGGATGAGGGTCGGGAGTTCTGGGATGTGCAGGCAGTGTGGAAGCTTTACCTCTCATCACATGTGGGGGTGGCGTGGACTCCAGCACCTTAGCTCCTTCTGCCTGCATGGAGGTCATGGGTGTTGGGGAAGGACTGGCCCAAGACGGGATGGAACTTGAAGGCACTTTGCTGCCGTAATACAGGGCCCCTGTGTAGACAAACCCGCATCACGCAGGGCCCCTGTGTAGACAAACCCGCATCACGCAGGGCCCCTGTGTAGACAAACCCGCATCACGCAGGGCCCCTGTGTAGACAAACCCGCATCACGCAGGGCCCCTGTGTAGACAAACCTGCGTCTTTTAGTTCCCAGGTTTATGTTTCCATGGAAATTGCTCACCATGCCGAGTATCTGTTTTACCACCAGATGTTGTCAGCTTAGGTTTTTCTTTTTTTTTTTTTGAGATGGAGTTTCACTCTTGTTGCCCAGGCTGGAGTTCAGTGGCACAATCTCTGCTCACCACAACCTCTGCCTCCCAGTTCCAAGCGATTCTCCTGCCTCAGCCTCGCAACTAGCTGGGATTACAGGCATGCACCACCACGCCTGACTGATTTTGTATTTCAATGGAGATGGGGTTTCTCCATGTTGGTCAGGCTGGTCTTGAACCTCTGACCTCAGGTGATCTGCCCACCTTGGCCACCCAAAGTGCTGGGATTACAGGCGTGAGCCACTGCACCCGGACTTCTCCCGTTTTTATTCCAGAGTTCTCTCGGGCTCCCTCTGGCATGTTGCTAGGGGAGGGCCCTGTGATACCGTTCTCTGGAGTCTGGCACCTGAGCAAGGGTGGCAGTGGGAGGAACCTCTTTATAGGGCTGGGGAAGGGCCCCATGACTACAGTGCAGGCCAGGGAGCCAAGTCCAAGAGAAGGCGCAGGTTCCATCCCTGTTCACTCACCAAACAAGCCCAGCAGTTTAGTTTCCCACAGGGGTTTTATTACTGGTGAGAGAGATTCCACATGACAACAAAAGGCACTTTTTGCTATCTGATAACCAGGCTATCTCTCTTTGAGAAAGCCATGCCTAGAAACTAACCTATCTGTTTAGCCGTGAGGCTCCAGGCTCCCACTGGGGCATCACAAGTCAGAGTTTCTTGAGCCCTGGACCAGGTGCAGTAAACTTGGTGTCATGCTCGAACGAAATTAAAAATGCAGAAAATCCTTCCATTGTATGTAAGGAGTTCTTAAGAACATTCTTCACCAAATACCTCGTGTTCTCACTCACCTTGGGTACTACAGTGATAAGTAGACACGGGACTACACAGACAGGCAACTGGGTTCGAGCAGTTCTCCTGCCTCAGCCTCCCAAGGAACTGGGACTGCAGGTGCTCGCCACCACACCTAGCTAATTTTTGCATTTTTAGTAGAGACGGTGTTTCACCATGTTGGCCAGGCTGGTCTCCAACTCCTGACCTCCAACCCCTGATCCCTTATTCTGATAAAGATGGAAACAATAGACACTGGAGACTTCTAGAGGGGAGAGGTAGGGAAAGGAGGAGGTGGGGGGAGGGTTGAAAAACTATTGAGTACGATGCTGGCTACCTGGGTGACGGGGTCATTTGTACCCCAAACCTCAGTAACATGCAACATATCCATGTAACTTACACATTTAGCCCCTGAGTATCTAATATATATGTTATGTGTATGTGTATTATATGTATATATGTTTCAGTAGGACCAGTCCCTAAGAAAGAGAAGAGAAAGACACTTAGAAATCTGAGGTCTCCTGGCCCTGGGTGCGTGCACTCTCGGGGGTGCCTGGAGACTTTCTGCAGGACACAGAGAGCATGGACTATTTTAAAGGCAATTTCTAGAGTCTCAGTTTAGACATAGACTCTTTCCTAAGGAAGCCCTTTTCTCCTGGTTTACAAGCAGAAGGACTGCTCTTCTCTACTCCCCTCCCCCAAAGTCCCCCAGGAACCAAAACATCCACTGGAATATTGGTGTAGGACCAAAAACCTGATTCTGATCATGTAATCCTTTCACAAGTCACAGGGCTTCCAATTCTTTGCTTTCAACAAAATCCAAGACGGGCTCACGTTGTCAGCTGATAAATCATACACATTTTTTTGAACACTTAGACCCATGTGCATGTTTTGGCTTACAAATTAGAAAGAGTCCAGATAAGCAACTAACTGAATATAACCAGACACTTGCCATTTCTACTCGTCTATACCAACCAATGTCTACTGGGACTTCTGCCCATACAAGTTCCCTTAAAAGTAGAATTGATGCTGAATCCTGTCTCTTTCAAACCATTCATAAATAATACCCATGATTACGTGAAAAACACCCAGTCACATTTTTCTCAATAAGAGATTATAGATTATTTCCACTCCAGTTTTACTTCTTACATGGAATCAAATTTATAATATATTCATATTATTTAGCTCACTTGCCTACTAGTAGTAATATTAATCACACCCAGTTCAGAAGAGAATTTTGAATTCTCAGAATCTTATGGTTATGATTTTTAAATTAAATTTTTAATTGAAATGATAATTTGTAAACTTTTTTTCTTATAGAGAAGTGAAAGTCAAGTGATTACTAAAAGAAGCATAAAAATATATTACTATAGGATATAGTTCTGCTGGGCAACTGGAGTGGAAATGCAAGTTCAACTAGAAAAAAGAATAATACAAAACTTTCAGTAACTTTTTTTTTGAGACAAGGTCTTATTCTGTCACTCAGGCTGGAGTGCAGCGGCGTGACTGGCTCACTGCAACCGTCACCTCCCAGGCTCAAGCAACCCTCCCACCTCAGCCTCTCAAGTATCTGGGACTGTGGGTACGGGCCACCATGCCTGACTAATTTTTATAGTTTTTCTAAAGATGGAGTTTTGCCATGTTGACCAGGCTGGTCTCGAACTCATTGGCTCAAGCAATTAACCCATCCCCACCTCCCAAAGTGCTGGAATTACAAGCATGAGCCACCATGCCTGGCCAATTTCTAATCATTGTAATCCAGGATTCACTCATGTATTTTTTTACGAATGAATATCCCATTTTCATTCATATCAATACGTGATACAAAATGTCACGTGTTTCTTTAAATGAATGAATAGCAAATATCCAATTAGGTATTCTGTTTCATTAGATGCATTGAAAATAGTGATATAACAGTTTCATTTTAAAAGGTCAACATTTATAATATATTTTAGTTATGTTAGTTACATGTAGAAATTATATTTGTTGCCCAGGAGTTGGAGGTTGCAGTGAGCTGTGATGATACCCAGGCTGGAGTGCAGTGCTCCTCCTGAGCTCAAGAGATCCTCCTGCCTCAGCTTCCCAAACAGGTGGGATTATAGGTGCCCACCATCACACCCAGTTAATTAAAAAAAGTCTTTTTCTTTAGAGATGGAGTCTCACTATGTTGCCCAGTCTAAGATAAAACACTTCAAATATTGATGTCAAAAATGTTGGAAGGGTTATGTAGGTTTGCATAAATTTTCTTGGGAAACATGAGCAAAATGGTCAAAGAGCACAGCAATCATCCATCCTCCTCCAAGCTGGCAGGAAGAGCTTGGGCACAGGAGGCCCTAGAGCTGAGAGGGCGAGGTGGGTTGGGGTGGGAGAGAGCGGAGGCACTAGGACATCCCCCCTGGGGCAAGAGAGCTGCCTGGCCACTTGTCCCCACAGGTGCAGCCCTGACCTGAGCAGCAGGAGGGATCCTGGGGCGGGGCGTCCGCCAGCATGCGCTCATCCCCGGCCTCATTCTCAATCACCAACGAGGTCAGCGGAGTCACAATGTGGTGGTCCAGAGACATCTGCAGGATGGATCTTGTAATTTTTCTCTTGGCAGCAGCGGTAGGAGCCAGACTTCTGTATTTAACAAATAGAGGTGTCATGGAGCATGGCTGCATTTGAGGGGAGCGCAAGTCAGCTTCCCAACCCTGCACCTTACCACTCTGAGGTCCAACCTGGGGGTGTGGCAGGGCTGCAAAGTAACCGAGAAACAGAACTCACTGTCTTCCAGAAGCTGAGTATTTTATCTAGCTAAGTCCCAAGGCATTATTTATTTACTTATTATTATTATTGAGACAAGGTCTTGCTGTTTTGCCCAGGCTGGCGTGCAATGGCCCAATCACGGTTTACTGCAGCCTCAGCCTCCCGGGGTCAAGCCATCCTACTGTCTCAGCCCCTCCCCCTCCCCCAAGTACCTGGGACTACAGGTGTACAGCACCATACGCAGCTAATTTTTGTATTTTTTGTAGAGATGGGCTTTTGCCCCACAGCCCAAGCTGGTCTCAAACTCCTGGACTCAAGTGATCCATCTGCCTCAACCTCCCAAAGTGCTGGGATTATAGGTGTGAGCCATGCGCCCAGCCCCCAAGGCATTTTTTTAACTTTATATTTTAGAGCAGTTTTAGGTTTGCAGTAAAATTTCACAGAATGTATCAAGATTTTCTATGTCCCCACTGCATACACACAGCCTTCCCCACTATCAGCATCCATCCCACATCAGAGTGGTGCATTTGTTACAATGGAAAAAGCTGACACGTCATTGTCACACAGAGTCCACAGAGTCAATGTGGCTGACTCTTGGTGTCGTACATTCTATGGGTTTGGTTATACATATAATGACAGATGTCCATCGTTGGCATAACATACAGGGCATTTTCACTGCCGTAAAAATGCTCTGTGCTCCACCCACTCTCCCATCTCCCTCCCCCCAACCTTTGGCAACTGCTGATCTTTTTATAGAGATTGTTTTAAAATCAATATTTCACTTCTGCAGCAATTTTCTGTATGCCTGCAAATACGTCCGATGTGATTCTGTCAGAGAGGCAGCTATTTCTCGTTGACTTCACAGCCGGAGTTCACAGCCTTGCGTATTTCTTCTAATCTCATCGGCATCAGGGATTTTCTTTGGAAGTTCAGTCATACAACTGCATTTCATTTTCCCAGCCGCATTTAGACCCTGTTCCCTTTTCCTGAGAATCTGATCTAGTAGGTGGAATGAGGCTTGGGAATGGGAACTTTTATCAAACACCTCCGTGTAATTTTGATGCAGGTGGTCAAAGAACCATCCATTGCTCTAGGGATACAGTTTTTATGCTGGACGGTTGAGCTGCAGCTCAGCTGAGAAGCCAGAGGGGACGGAGATGAGCATGGAGGAGGCCTCTCTTGGGGAACATCACAGTCATTAATAATCACTAATTTTTCTTTGGACAAGGAGCTGTTTTCAAGAGTAAATGTAAATACATGCCCGATACATGAAGCAACATGGATGAATCTCACCAACATCATATTGAGTGAAAGAAGCCAGGAGCAAAGGAATACAGATTGCATGATTACGCGAAATTCAGGCTCAGGCAAAACTGATGACCACAGACATTGAAAGAGTGGGTTCCCTGGAGGAGGGGTGTGGGTGTTGAGGGAGGAGAAGGGAACCTGCCTCTGGACCTGGGTGATGATTACATGGATGATATCAAAACCCACTGGATAGTGCACTTAAAATTAATTCATCTTACACACTTTACCTTATGTATCCCTCAATAAAGAAGAAAAACGAGCGAACCCAGCTTTCTCTGAAGTGCTCAGAACTAGTGGAGGTTAACAATCCAAGCCTGTGATAATTTGCTGTTTTTCTTGCTTCCAAACTCTTTCTGTGTGTGACTTCACCTATTCATGGTGGACATTTCAGTTTTGCAGACCCTGTGGTGTGGGTACTCTTCTCTTACCGTTCAGCTAGCAGTTGGTTGATGGTTAGATAGGCCCACAGTTTCTTGGTGAAATCGGGATCTGCATGCTTGTCTTTTGATAGAAAATCCTGCAAGTCATCCATCTGGGCCAGGGTCTCCAAGACTAACTCCGTGTTAGCCTAGATGACGGAAGGGTCAGTGGAGAGACACCGCAGAACAGAATTATAGTTAATCAATTCACAGTTTTAGTACCTGCTACATGCATGGGGGAAAAAAAAAGAAATGGAAGGCAAAGGCTACTGAGGAAGCAAATGCATTCCTGTGCTTGGGATTGGGCTTGGGTGGAAAGGTAAGGATGCATGGAACAGCTGGGAAGATGGCAGAGACGGTCTCCTGCGTTCTCCATCACTGACCGCTTCTGCTCTACACGAATGATTCTGGGCAGGCAGAACTGACATTCAAGAGGGACTGTATCTAGGGGCCAATTAGTAGAATAAGCCGATAAGAGGAAGTACCGAAGTCGCAGTGATAATGCTCTGTATTTGGTCCAATTTAGCAGGGTCAAATTTTCCCGCCACCACAATCTCTGAACCTCCAAAGTAGTTGTGGAAACTGTTTTGAGTGACGTCTGTGACTGCTGTCTGGGGATAGTTGAACTGAACGTTCCGGAGCAATGGAGTGGAGACCTGGTTGTAGAATTTCTGCAATTCACAGAGAGAGAGAGAGAGAGAGAGAGAGAGAGAGAGAAATTATGTTTATACTGCTTTGTAGCTCTAAAGCATTTTACATTTTATTTATTTATTTATTTAGTTTGTTTAGCCCCTGGAGTAGCTGGGATTACAGGTGCCCACCACCAAGCCTGGCTAATTTTTGTATTTTTATTAGAGATGGGATTTCACCATGTTGGCCAGGCTGGTCCTGAACTCCTAGCCTTGTGATCTGCCAACCTCAGCCTCCCAAAGTGCTAAGATTACAGAGATTACATGCCCAGCTGATCTAAAACATTTTACTCTGAGATTCTTTAAAGGATCAGCAGATACCTCTTAATTTATTCACACAGGACATCTGGGGCAACAGAAAATGCTCATAATTATCAGATTAAAAACGGAGAGAAAACAAAACAGAGAAAACTTGTTGAGAACATTACCTTTGATTTAAGAGCCCAGCTTTTTTTTCCCTTTCTGTTGTGGTCAGCATGAAAAAGTTGTGGACAAACTTATGATAAAAGTCAGATGGAGGTTGGGTGCAGTGACTCACACCTATAATCCCAGCACTTTGGGAGGCCGAGGCAGGCAGATCACCTGAGGTCAGGAATTCAAAACCAGCCTGGCCAACATGGTGAAGCCCCATCTCTTCTAAAAATACAAAAATTAGCCAGGCATGGTGGCGTGTGCCTCTAGTCCTAGCTACTCAGGAGGCTGAGGCACGAGTATTGCTTGAACCTGAGAGGCAGAGGTTGCAGTGAGCCAAGATTGTACCACTGCATTCCAGTCTGGGTGACAAAGCAAGACTCTGTCTCGAATAATAGTAATAATTAATTTTTTTAAAAAGTCAGCTGGGTTACTGTTCCCCAAATTAGAATCCTATCTCTTACTTGTTCCCAGATGTAAATATGATGCCTGGTACTGACAAAGGGCGGGGAAAGATGTGTTCTTCTTTTCTTAGATCATCTTCTCATCTATTTAGTCAAAACAAGTTGTTTGTATCTTTTCAATATATATACTTTAATTTTAAAATGTTTTATTTTTTGAACAGACAGATCTCACTATGTTGCCCAGGCTAGTCTTGAACTCCTGGGCTCAAGTGATCCTCCCACCTTGGCCTCCGAAGTGCTGGGATTATAGGCATGAGCCACTGCATTCAACCTGTATCTTAATCATTAAGAAAATTTACATTGTGAAAAATTGATACCAAGATGCCAATGCACTTTAAAGGGAAAACTGCTGGCCATGATGACAAGAAGACCGATTGCCAGTGGGGCGGGAGGGCTACAGGGAGCTTTGATGATGCTCAGAAGATTTTGTTCAGAGGGTAGGAAAGCCGTTCCCATCACCCATCTGCCTCACACCTCACTGTTGCTGCAGAAATATGAGGGTGGAGGGAAACATGTGAGAAAGGAACTGAGCACTTCCCTGATCCTTGCAACCAAATATGGCTGAGATCATGACCGTTTTGAGTTAAGCTCAGTTATGTCTCATGTATGCAACAGACATGGATAGTTAAATGATTTCCAGTGAAGAGTAAAAAAAAGTACAGAAGAAAATGTTACCCTAAGCTGGGAGGATGTGTCCTGGTTTCCATAAATCCTTTGAGCAATTCCACGGTTTTCATTGGAGAGTCTCTTCAAAAAATCATAGTCCACGTCAAATCCCATGCCCAAACTGAATAAGGAGATATTGTCACGGATGTTCTCCTTCACATTTTTCTGGATTTTTGACAGTTTTAGTTCACCTAAAGTTGGTGATGACAGAAAGGAAAAGAATGAAGAAGTAATGTTATAAAGTTTTTGGAAACTCTAGGGAGGGCAGTTTAGTAAAATATGTCCAGATTAAAACTGCGTTTACCCTTTGACCCAGTAACACAATTTCTAGGAGTTTTTATTAGAGATGCACTCATACATGTTGCAATGAAGTGTGAGTCGTGGTGCATAGCAACATTATTTGGGAATAGCAACATTTTGGAAACAACATAAATATACACCAATGAGGGCGCTTGGTTAGATGATGGTACATTCAAACTGTGAGATACTACACAGTTATTAAACAGGGCACAGCAAGGCTTTGTGTATGTACACCAGACAATTTCAAGGATATGTTTAGAGGAGAAAAAAAACAAGGTAGATGGGTACACAGGATGCATTTGCATGCATGCATGTATAAATGTATGCATGCGTATGTGTGCATATACACACACAACTGCAATACATTTGCATACATGCATGTATAAATGTACGCGTGCGTATGTGTGCATATACACACACATCTGCAATGCATTTGCATGCATGCATGTATAAATGTATGCATGCATATGTGTGCATATACACACACACCTGCAAACATGTATATATAGTATACAGGCATGCATGAACTATCTGTGAAAAGATACATAAGAAACTGGCAACCAGTGACTGATTCCAGGGACAGGAACTGGATGGTTGAGAAACAGGAGTGAAAATCCATAATGAAACCAAATTATGGTTTATCTTTATCTTTATTTTTTTGAGACGGAGTCTCACTCTGTTGCCCAGGTTGGAGTGCAGTGGTGCAATCTTGGCTTATAGCAACCTCCGCCTCTTGGGTTCAAGTGGGTTTCCTGTCTCAGCCTCCAAGTAGCTGGCATTATAGCTGCATGCCACCATGTCCAGCTAATTTTGAATTTTTAGTAGAGATGGGTTTTCACCATGTTGGCCAGGCTGTTCTTGAACTCCTGACATCAGGTGTCCCACCCATCTTGGCCTCCCAAAGTGCTGGGATTACAAGTGTGAGCCATTGTGCCTGGCCAGTTTAATATTTTAACTATATTTCCTTTTCTACCTTATGATTTTATTTAAAACTGGAATTTTAAAAGTAATCTGAGGGAAAAAACACTGGCTCTACAACAAATACATAACAACGGCTCATTCTAGTCCGGTTGTTAATAAGGACTTCTAAAATTTTGGCTTTCTAAAACTCTGGCTGCCGTTGTTACTGCCTCGTGCATTTTTATTCATTAGCTGTGTCAGGTGGTGTCAGACCCAGTCCTGGTCTGTATACAGCATACTCAGGCAACACAACCTGGCATTCACTATTACTTACAGTGGCCAGAATAAAGACACAAGTAAAATGAAGATAGCTGGGCACAGTGGCTCACACCTGTAATCCCAACACTTTGGGAGGCCGAGGTAGGAGGACTGCTTGGGCCCAGGAGTTCAAGATCATCAAGATCAGCCTAAGCAACACAGTGACACTCCATCTCTCAAAAAAAAAAAAAAAAGAAAGAAAAGAAATTAGCTAAGTGTGGCAGTGCACACCTGTAGTCCCAGCCACTCAGGAGGCTGAAGCAGGAGGATCACTTGAGCATGGCAGGCTGAAGCTGCAGTGGGCTATGTGTGCCTCACTGCACTCCAGCCTGGATGACAGAGCAAGACCCTGCCTCAAAAAATAAAGCAAATAAAATAAAATAATGTAACAAAAATAAAAGTAAATAGCAGAAGTAGGGAGATATTGATGCCATTTTGTAGACAGAAAAATGTTAAAGGTTGTGTCAGAGAGCAGTCATTTCTCCAGCTGCCGCTGGGAGAAGTGAGGAGAACAGTAGGGACCGTGCCACTGTTCTCTGGGGTGCTGCTGGGAGGTCTGGGATCAACACTCATCATTCACCACCCCACACTCCATCTTCACATTGCTCAAGTTGAGTAAATAAATGCAGTTCCCTAGAATGCATCAGCAATCCTAGCCACACACTATTAAAGTTCATGCTCAAATTTCTGCATGTTGTGGAGGTGAAACTGAGGCATTCAAGAGCACCCTTGCGGAAAGCGTCTGAGCAGTAGCTTGAGGGGTGAGGGCTGCAGAATCAGAAAACCTCCTTTTGGAAGCATGGGTTTAATATGTTCTAGAAACTCAGGCAAATGGCGTTAGAGTCCCCCTTTTAGGCAAACCAGCATTCCAAGGAACAAGAGTGGAAGTGTTTGTTGTGAGAAAGCTGAAGTGACACTTGCCCACTGTTGGGTCTCCATCAGAAACCAGGATGATCAGCGAGACAGAGTTGGGGTCCAGCAGTCCCATGTTATTGGCCTCATTCAAAATGAAGATGGCCCGCAGGAGTGCCTCGTTGATGTTTGTGCCTGTTGAGGTGGTATAGTGAAGTGTTGGCTATGTGTTCTCACCACACAGAAAATCCCACCCTGGATTCAGACTCATATGCCTGCTGATCACTTACACATCGTTTATTCAATGCCAAAATCATTTGCTTGCTTTCTGAGTGACACAAGCTGTGCTCAGGCTGATGGTACCCCAGCGCAGTGAAAGATTCACTTTGAAGTAAACTATCCCCTTAGAGATGAATTTGCCCTTTCAAAGCACAGACTGTTAATTCGTTAAACACCAGATTAAAGTATCCAAATCAGCATTGCCAAGATACTCTGAAGACAGTGACATTTTATGCTTTATGTAAGCAATAAAGAAGGCCAGTGTCACTGAACCTTTTTCTGAGATAGATTAGAACGGTTCAAAGTCTGTGTGGGCTAAATTACAAATTCTACTTTCACTACAAACTTAGCACTCATCCATTACTGAGAAATGTATTATTTAAGGCAGGCCCTTGAAGACTGGGCAAAGACCTCTGTGATGGGAATAATGCTTCTTAAGTGAATCATGATTTGAACCCAAAGGAAGTGTCTTTCTGGGCTTTAGCCCAACGCACTTACCTCCACTGGGCTGGATTTTCTCTATATACCTCTTGGCATCTGCAACCTGTGTTTTTGTAGCTGAAATTAAATCATTCCTCCAAGTTCGAATGTTGTGGTTGAAATCAACCACAGAGAAATGGTCTTCCGCTCTGAGGTCATCCAATATGGTCTTCATTGCTTCCACAGTCTATTTCAGTAGATAATAGAGACGGGTCCCATTACAGAAAATCTGAGCCTCAGAGGAACTAGGAAGACCAATAATTGATCCTGGTCATCCTTCAAGTTCGACTCAAACTAAACTTCTTCCAGAAAACCTCTCGAGCCTACCTCAGTCAGTGCAGACCTACGCCTTATTTATTCTGAGCATGTATCGTGGGCTTTTTATACTTTTACTATCTTATTTTGCTAAGCACAACCAGTTCGATTAGTCTTTCAGTTAAGGATCATGAACTTTGAGTGCCACCTTTTTGATGCCTGAAAATAAAATAGACGTCTCAAGTCCATCTACTCACCCAGTCTCTTAAACTATTTCCTCATCTTTCTCGTTAAATCACCACCATCACCCTCTTTCTCTAGCTTATGTGTGATGACTTTGATTCCGACCCAACTCAGAAGCTGAAGCAGACAGAAGAAATCCCGCAGACTCCCACCACCATAAAATCCCAGCTGGCAATATTTGTACCTGTACATCGTTCTTTCCTACCTGGTAATAAAGAACAGCCAGCAGCATTTCCACCTAATGCAAACCCATCTACTCATGAACTAGATTTCATTCTCTCTCTTTGACTGAAGAACATGGCTCCAGCCATCGCCCTTTGCCACTTCAGTTCCCCTATTCTATTGGTACATTTCCATCAACACAAAAACATGTTATTTTTTGGCCTTTTACAAACCTCATGTGCATCCACTTTCTTCATTTCTTAGCTTTCTTCTGCAATAAAATTTCTTGACAGAATTGTCTAAACAGACCATCTCCAAGTCTTCTCTTCCTATTCTCTCATAAGCCCATTCATTGCGGGTTTTCATCCCCATCACTACTGAAACTGCCCTTGTCAAGGTCACCAGTGACGCTGATGTCGCTAAATCCAACGGTCCATCTTCATTTCTCACGCAACTCAACCTGTCACCAGCAAATGCTCCCATCTCCCTCCTGAACACAAAGTCCTAGTTTGTCTTCCAGGGTCTCATTCTCTCTTGATTTTTCTCCCCCACTTATTTTTGTATTAGTTTCTGTCACCGGTTATCCTCTTCTTGCCAACTCCCCAATATGAAAATGCTCTGCTGTTTGATCTTAGCTCCCTTGTCCATCTACTCATTGGTGTTCTCATCTAGTTCCGATGCTGCCAATACCTTCTGCGTGCTGGTGGGTCCTAACTGTGAGTCTCCACAGCTTGCTTTCGAACACCAAGCTTGTGTGGCCAACTTAGATGTTCAATAGACATCCCAGACTTAGTGACATTCCCTGTCATGTCTGATCCCGTCTTAGTCTTTTCTAACTCATGGATGGCCACGCCATCCTTCTAGTCGCTCAGGCTAAAGTCCTGGGGCATCTTTCAGTTCTCCTTTCTTCCCTTGCCTCACAGCTAACCCTTCAGGATATACTGTTTACCCTACCTTCAGAACGGTTTGCGGGGCCAGTTCTGATGACGACGGCACAGGCGTTCCACGAGCCACCTTGCCTCTTGCTTCTCAGATCTCATCTCCCACTGCCCTTCTCTACTGGCACCTCTCTCTGTTCTTTGCACACTTGCGACTTAGAACCGTTTCACGGGCTGTTCATTGCGTTGGCATTCCCCTAGGTATCTGCACAGCTTTCTTGTCACCTTCTAGGGATCTCCTCAGGGGTCTTCTCCAGGAAACCCCGTATTTAGATGACAAGCCTATTCAAAATTCCATCTCCCTCCAATTGCCACTCTTGATTTCTAACATACTCTTCTATTTTTTAAAAAAACCTTTATCATAATGCTGCCATTGAACATACTTGTACATTTGTGCTTGTATGTGTATTGTTTATTTTCTGTCCCCTCTCCCCCACATGTAAGTTTCTTAAGCACCCTGAGGGCAGGCATGAGTCTTTTTGTGTGGTTTCTGTTTTTACGTGTTGGATCTGTTTTGCTCACGGATGAACTAAGTGTATGACACATAGTAGGTGCTTTGTAAATATTTGTCGAATGAATGAATGACGGAAGGAAGGAGGCAGTGAATAACCTGTTGTATTAGGGCAGTGGTTCTCAACCAGGGACAACTACTCCCCACAGGGGGCCCTTGGCAATGTCTGAAGTCATGTTTAATTGTTAGGATGCAGGGGAGGTTGTGCTACCGAAATTTAACGAATAGACCACAGACCATGCTGCTAAGTACCCCTGCAATGCACCAGACAGCCCTCCCACAGAAGGAATGACCCCATCCAAAATATCAATAGGGCCACTGCTGAGAAACCCTGCCTGGGAGTACAGACCCAGGCGGGCATGGTCTGTGAAAGACAGGGGCTTCTTTTAGGTCACCTGCAGATCTTAGGGTAGTAGTGAACTCTTGAGTGGTCAAAAATAGTTGCTGAATGAATGGATAGATGGTTGTTCAACTTGGTTGAATGGATGGATGAACTGATGGGTAAATTAAGGCATTTCCTTGTTTGGTCTTTAGAATTGCATCTATATATCTCACTTATCACTGAGTAAGCCTGTACTGAGCTCCGAGCCGAAAACATGACACGGGATAGCTGCCCTCAAGGAATTACAATATAATTAGAAATCATATGCATATATAGACTTAATAGTCATATGTGGACAATGGCAAAATAGTAAAATAAAATATTATGTAGAAGAGCAAAGGGAATGTGACTGTCATTGTACGGAGAGGTTATACAGAAATGTCATTTCTCAAAGAGGGGAGTTTTGAGACAAGTTTTCAAGGAAATACTAGATGGAGAGTGGAAAAGAGGAAGACAGGGAAGAGGAAACAGGAAAGAGGGGGAAGAGAAGGAAGGGAATTTTACACTGGAGGAATGATTAGAAGATGGAGGTATATGTCCTGTGAAACACAATAATCGCAAAATTTTTGGAAAGGTTTACACCCACAGTCAGTAACCACAGTTCCTGAGCTTTAGCCCTAAGTAGGGAGGAGGGATAGAATGATTACTTTTTTTTTTTTTTTTTTGAGATGGAGTTTCACTCTGTTGCCCAGGCTAGGGTGCAGTAGGACAATCTCGGCTCACTGCAACCTCCGCCTCTTGGGTTCAAGCAATTCTCCTGCCTCAGCCTCTCAAGTAGCTGGGATTATAGGTGTGCGCCACCACGCCCTGCTAAGTTTTGTATTTTTAGTCGACTGGGTTTCACCACATTGGCCAGGCTGGTCTCAAACTCCTGAGTTCAAGTGATCTGCTCGCCTCCGCCTCCCAAAGTGCTGGGATTACAGGCAGGAGGCATCACACCCAGCAGAATGATTGCACATTTTTAGGTGGGGATCAAAGAATATAAGGAGTCCCTCCCCACACTGCAAATAAGGGGACACTTACTTGTTTCATTTTAACTCCCCACATCGAGCCACTCACATCGATGACAAAGAGGATGTTTTTGGGAATTGGGTCCAGGTTGTCAGGAGCAAAGAAGTGGACAAAATATCCATTAAACACCTGAAAAGTAGAACGTATTTGTGAGTCAAATAATGATTCAAGTTTAGAAGGTCGGGAGATGGGGACCTGGGGACTCAGAGAGGAGAGGTGGGCTACAGTGAGGAGGAGGTGGAGCCTGGTATGCATTCGCCTCCATATTTTCCTACCTGTTCCCCAACATCCTCTGCTGGGAGGGTCCGTGCTTTCCCAGCAGAGCATTCCACTCCACTCCACGCCATGCCAGGCCGCTCTACGCCACACCACGCCACGCCATGCCACTTCACTCCATGCCACGCCACTCTGCTCTGCTCCATGCCACTCCACTCCATGCCATGCCACTCCACTCCACTCTGCTCTACTCCACTCCACTCCATGCCCCACAGCTCCATGCCACTTCACTCCATGCCATGCCACTCTGCTCTGCTCCATGCCACTCCACTCCATGCCATGCCACTCCACTCCACTCTGCTCTACTCCACTCCACTCCATGCCCCACAGCTCCATGCCACTTCACTCCATGCCATGCCACTCTGCTCTGCTCCATGCCACTCCACTCCACTCCATGCCATGCCACTCCACTCCACTCTGCTCTACTCCACTCCCCTCCATGCCCCACAGCTCCATGCCACTTCACTCCATGCCATGCCACTCTGCTCTGCTCCATGCCACTCCACTCCACTCCATGCCATGCCACTCCACTCCACTCTGCTCTACTCCACTCCACTCCATGCCCCACAGCTCCATGCCACTTCACTCCATGCCATGCCACTCTGCTCTGCTCCATGCCACTCCACTCCACTCCATGCCATGCCACTCCACTCCACACCATGCCACGCCATGCCACTTCACTCCATGCCATGCCACTCTGCTCTGCTCCATGCCACTCCACTCCACTCCATGCCATGCCACTCCACTCCACTCTGCTCTGCTCTACTCCACTCCCCTCCATGCCCCACAGCTCCATGCCACTTCACTCCATGCCATGCCACTCTGCTCTGCTCCATGCCACTCCACTCCACTCCATGCCATGCCACTCCACTCCACTCTGCTCTACTCCACTCCCCTCCATGCCCCACAGCTCCATGCCACTTCACTCCATGCCATGCCACTCTGCTCTGCTCCATGCCACTCCACTCCACTCCATGCCATGCCACTCCACTCCACTCTGCTCTGCTCTACTCCACTCCCCTCCATGCCCCACAGCTCCATGCCACTTCACTCCATGCCATGCCACTCTGCTCTGCTCCATGCCACTCCACTCCACTCCATGCCATGCCACTCCACTCCACTCTGCTCTACTCCACTCCCCTCCATGCCCCACAGCTCCATGCCACTTCACTCCATGCCATGCCACTCTGCTCTGCTCCATGCCACTCCACTCCACTCCATGCCATGCCACTCCACTCCACTCTGCTCTGCTCTACTCCACTCCCCTCCATGCCCCACAGCTCCATGCCACTTCACTCCATGCCATGCCACTCTGCTCTGCTCCATGCCGCTCCACTCCACTCCATGCCATGCCACTCCACTCCACTCTGCTCTGCTCTACTCCACTCCACTCCATGCCCCACAGCTCCATGCCACTTCACTCCATGCCATGCCACTCTGCTCTGCTCCGTGCTGCTCCACTCCACTCCATGCCATGCCATGCCACACTACTCCATGTCACCCAGTCTTTACAGAGAGCCCCTGTTCCAGGCGCCCTGCTAGCCAGTGGTGAACCAGGCAGAGCCCCCACCCTCAGGAGGCTCAGGGCCAGCAGAGGATAAGGGTAAGTGGAGGCAATGTGCAGCACAGCGTGTTGATCACCATGATTAGGAAGTAAAAGGCTTGGCAAGAGCCAGCTGTGCATCTTACGCACACAGGGAACGCTTCTCTAGGAAACAGCATCTCCACTGCAACCTGAGGATGAGCTCAGGCTTAGCCGTCCTCCTGAGAGCTGGGCCAGGTTGAGGGGGTGGGGAATGGGGAAGAGCGTTCCTGACAGCGCAGCTCCAGAGATGAGAGAACATGGCATACTTGGGGCTTTGTACATGGTTCAACAAGATGGGGACGTAGAATCCAATCATTCAGGGAACCAGGTGGAGAATCAGCAGGACAGGTCACGAAGGATGTGTATGGGCCACTTTAGAAACTTTGGATTTTTCTGGAAGTTAATGAAAGGCTGCCCCAGCTGGACTCCTGACTACTCTGTCTTCTGCTGCAGGCTTAACAACTGGCTCAGCTAATTCTCTTTCCACTGCTCTTTGGCTGCCTCTCTCCAGGACACCAGTGTCCAGGTGCAGGGTCTGTGCTCTGCTCGCTGTCCCTAGAGAGACTCTTGGAGTTTGGGGTACGTTCTAAGGGTCTGTACCTTAGTACAAGGAAAGGGAGACACACATCTAAGGCATGACCAAAGGGGAAGGGAAACTTTTCCAGAAACCTCACGATAAACCTTCACCCTGAAATTTACCACTGGCTCTGTATCTTTCCGGGCTGTAGGTGTGCCTTCTTCCTCACCCTGTAATCTCTGTGCTTTCTTCGATTGTCTAATTGCAAAGGACCTTGGGAGCCTATTTAAAATTCCTGTTCTGTAATTTTCCATTGCTCTTCACACGAGGCCCAGGAATCCCCTCCTGGGACAGGAGCGTGAGACCTGATGATGTTCTACTCAGTTTTCAAGACACAAACGATAATGCTTAGTGATATATTTAAAGAATATGATTCTAGTCTCTTCTCGGCAGCTAGAAACACTTGCCCTTTCGGCTGGAAACCACCAACATGCCTGGGAGTTTTTTCAAAAAGGAGCAGCTCTTTGGCATGAGCTTCAACCAGAGACAGTCTGCACCCACCTCCAGTTCACCAGCCTTCTCTTCTCTGCTCACGTCATACAGCACCACCAGTTCCCCGTCTACCGCAGTCTCCCGGCAGTTGGGGCATATTCTCTGCTGTGCTACTGTGGGCTTGAAGGAGACGTGAGCCTGGAAAGAACAGCGGTGTCAGGGCCTCTGCCTCTAGCTCCTTCCCAGTGAGAGTTTGGCACAGCCCCTTCTTGAGGACACAGGGCAGAGGAGCAGCCCAGGGGACGTTCTGCATCCCGGCCATATCAGTGGGCCCATTACTGATGGGAAGGACAAGCCAGGTCTTTTGCAGGGAGCGCCTCCAGCCTGCCGTGCTGGTTGTGACATTTCAGGCCTTTTTAGAGGAAAGCCAATGAATTTCCTGCATCCCCGATAGAAGGGCCAACTGCCCGCTTTGGAAAGAGTTTGTGAACTGTTCTAATGTCCTTAGAGGAGTCTGTCCTCAGAGGAGTCACAGTTTGTTATCATGGGCCATTGAGGCAGAGAGAGCTGAATGTTTCTTGCTAGGGTTAATGAATGAAAATCCACCATATAGGATGTGAAAGATGTCCTTTAGCTACTGCTCAAGTAGGTGACTTAGGGACAAAAAGGGACACTCTGGTCAAAACAGAAGGAAACCCTTGGGAGTGTTGATCTGTGTATCCTGGGGAGACCCTAGACTCTGCTGGGGGATCACCATTTCTTCAGACAGTGCCCTCAGCTCAACACCAGCCTGCATTTCTATTCCCCAGAGCACAGGAGGAGAGCAGAACCCATGAGCCAGGCGCCCATGGATCCCTGGCAATGCGTAGGGCTAGGGTACCTTCTGTTGTCCTTTAGAAATGACTGGAACACCATCGAAATGGCCTTCAAATGTGTCAGCAACATGAAGAAATCTCATTCCCTGAGGTTCTACAACCCACACGTCTACCTAGAGATGTGAGAGAAAAATACCCAAAGCATTACGAGTCTTTAAAGTCTTTTCAAGCAAGAAGTAAAATTACAGATGAGTCCTCTGATGCTTTTCTCCTCCACAGGCTTTCCCAGCACAGCTCCGTGATCTCCCCTGCAGGATCTGGAAGTTCCCTGTGACGGGATTCATCTCACCATGAAGGCTTAACCCCCTTCTGCCAACTCAGAAGTCCCCTTCTACTGCCTGGCTCCCCCAGGAGTCAATTCCCCCTCTTCATTCTATTCTAGTCCTTTTATTTATAAGAGCATTTGCATTGTTGGGGGGGGGAAGAAGAAAAGTCATTGTTACATAGTACTGCATTTGCTCTGTAGACCTGTCAAAAAGAGACCATTTCCCCCAAATCTTGGGTCCTTTTGTTTCTTCTCTGTCTTCCTGCTTTGAACAGAGTCACCTGGGGAAGCCTCCTTTGCTAATCCTTGACGAAACCATAGTCAGAGCTGCCATTTTTTTCTTTTTAAAATTTTATTCTCTGATTTGTTTATTTCTATTTTCAGGTATTTATTTTGAAAAATTTCTATAAATTTAAAGAGTACAAATGCAGTTTGGTTTCATGACTATATTGCACAGGGTGAAGTCTAGGCTTTTAGTGAAACCACCACCCAAGTAATGTACCTTGCACCCATTAATAATTTCTCATTCCTCACCCTATTCCCGCCCTCCCACAATTCCAAATCTCCCCACTCCCGCCCCCAACACTTCCGAGCCTCTAACACCTACCACTCCACACATTATTTAGCTACCTCTAACAAGTGAGAACACATGGTATTTGACTTTCTGTTTCTGAGTTACTTCGCTGCTATTTTTTCTTTTCGAGGCAGGGTCTCATTTTGTCACCCAGCCTGGAGTGCAGTGGCATGATCACAGCTAACCGTAGTCTCAACCGTTTTGGCTCAAGCTATCCTCTTGCCTCAGCCTCCCAAGTAGGTGGGACTACAGGGGTGTACCACCATGCCTGGCTAATTTACGTATTCATATTTTCAGGAGAGATGAGGTCTGTGTCACCCAGGCTGTCACTCAGTTCTTATTAATATTGTTGTTATTGACAATCTCCACGATTGTCTCATTCTAGGCGTGGATGCTAATCACATCTAACCGTTATTTCACATTATTTACCACGGGATTCACAGCACTGAGCAAGAGAATGTGGGTGACTGACACCCATCCATCATCACTACTGGAAAAACACCCAGCATCACATACTTAGCTGTACATCTTGGCCAAGTCATCTGCCCTGGCGTGGAGCCACATTTGCCTGGGGGAAGGGCGTCTTTGATCAATTCCTGCAAAAGCACAGTCTGTGGGAGGAGTGGCCCAGAAAGGAACTCAACAGCATAGAGTCTGGCAGTGAAGTGATGCCAAACAGCGGGCGTTATTTACCAGCCGTGCAGCTTTCCAAATGGGAATTAGTTTCATCATGATTCATTCATTCCCTTTCATCTCCTGTGTCTCCAGGCAATTCACAACCTGTATGCATGCTGGCCCGTGTACCCTCGTAGGTTTTCTCTTGCCTAGCTCTGCCTCTAACACTAAATGCTCATATGATGTCACAAAGATTTGAACAAAGAAAAGAGAAGTTTAGTCTTTACAGCAAGAGATGGAGAGGACAGCAGAGGTGAGTTCAGATGGACAGCAATGCAGTGGCTGCCCTAGGCACCCACTGCGGTGATGATGGCTGGGATGGCGGGGAGACAACCCACTTAACCTTCGAGTGCCTGTCATTGCCACATATTACAGGAACAGGAAACCCAATACTGCATGTTATCGCTTCTAAGTGCAAGCTGAACACTGAGGACACATGGACACAAAGAAGGGAGCAATTGACACCACGGCCTTCTCGAGGGTGAGGGAGGGAGGAGAGTAAGGACTGGAAACCACCTCTCAGGTACTGTGCTCATTACCTGGGTGGTGAAATAATCTGTACACCAAACCCCCGTGATGTGGAGTGGAGTTGACCTATATAACAAACCTGCACATGTGCCCCTGAACTTAAAATAAAAGTTAAAAAAAAGAACTGAGAAATGAAAGTCTGTACAGTATTTTTTTTTTTTTTTTTTTGAGACAAAGGCTTGCTCTGTCACCCAGGCTAGAATGCAGTGGCATGATCTCCGTTCACTGCAGCCTCCACCTCCCAGGTTCAAGCAATTCTCCTGCCTCAGCCCCTGGAGTAGCTGGGATTACAGGTGCCCACCACCAAGCCTGGCTAATTTTTGTATTTTTAGTAGACAGGATTTCACCATGTTGGCCGGGATGGTCTCGATCTCCTGACCTTGTGATCTGCCCACCTCAGTCTCCCAAGATGTTGGGATTACAGGCATGAGCCACTGCACCCAGCTACAGTACTCTTTTCATAGATGAGGCAGTGGAGACTCAAGATAACTTGTTCTTGGAGATTAGTGTCTTGGGTTGAATGGTGGCCTCCCCATAAAGATATGTCCAACCCCTGCAATCTGTGAACGTGAATGAAGAGTCCTTGCAGATGTAGTTAAGGATCTTGAGTTGAGATCATCCTACACTGCCTGGTGGACCCCAATCTAATCATTGTTCTTGTGAGAGAAAGGCAGAGGGGCATTTGAGATGCTCAGAGGAGGAGAGGGACCACCGAAGAAGAGATTGGAGTGACCTGACAAGGCCACAAGCCAAGGAATGCCAGCAGCTGCCAGACAACAGAAAAGGCAAGGAACGGAGCCTGCAGTGACAGTGACAGACACCTTGACTTCAGAATTCCGTGAGAGAATCCATTTGTGTTGTGTTAAGCTGTGCCATGCGCTGTCACTTGTCATAGCAGACCTTGGAAACCACCATCATACGGCTGCTAAGGAGATTGAGAGCTGTAAGGAGGTGATGTGGCTGACTCCAAACCCACCATGTTTCAACACATCCCACTGTCTGTCTCGCAGAGTTGAGTGGCATCCAACAGCACACGTGGCGGTGACAAGCAGAACGCATAAATCAGGGTCAGGGACTCTCAGAGGTCAGTGTCACTGCCCACCCTACAGATCCATGCTTACTTCCAAGTGTTTGGCCAGCCGTCCGGGCTGCAGATAGATCCTGTGTTCGTAGGAGCCCAGCTTCCTCCACTTCGCCTCCTGGTAGTGAAGCTCGAACTCCACCTTTGCTCCTGGGAGGACATTGACTTCTGTTCTGAAGTTTTCCATGTCAAGAGCCCTGCTCCTGAAGGTGAAAGCCCCCAACAAAGGTCAACAGATACATGATTGAATGGCAAGACCCGGAATCTAGACAGAGGGTGTGTAGACTTTCCTGGATGATCAGCCCTGCTCAGTAGTTCACAAACGTGAACAGTAGGCTCACTAGACATAAGTGCAGCTTCTAGATCAGTTGAATCCCAGCAAGAGCTTCAGTCTCCTCTCCTGCCTGATCTCCTGCTCCCAGAGCTTCTTACCGACTTGAGTGTTGTCTGTAAAAAGCATCCAGGGATTGGCCCCTATCCTGGGCCAGGAACTTCACATCTATCATCACTGAGACAGCACATCTGCCAGATGGAGATCATTACCCTGCCTTTTCTGATGATAAAACGTTAGGCTTGTAGAGGACTGGTCACCTGCTCAAGACCCTAGACCCAGTCCACTGTGGGACCAGGACTCAAACCCAAGGTTGGAGGGTTTGAAGACAGCATGCCCTTCCTACATTGCATTTCAGGCTCACTGGAAGAGTTCTTGATATTTTTGAAGGTCTTCAAACAGAAAAACTTCATTATTGCATCAAATTGAGTATGTTTCTCTCTCTCTCTCTTTTTTTGAGCTGGAGTCTTGCTCTGCTGCTAGGCTGGAGTGCAGTGGTATGATCTCAGCTCGCTACAACCTCTGCCTCCAGGGTTCAAGCAATTCTCCTACATCAGCCTCCTTAGTAACTGGGATTACAGGCTTTTGCCACCATGCCCGGCTGATTTTCATATTTTCAGTTGAGCCAGGGTTTCACCATGTTGGCCAGGCCAGTCTCAAACTTCTGGCCTCAGCTGATCCACCCACCTCGGCCTCTTAAAGTGTTGGGATTACAGGTGTGAGCCAACGTGCCTGGCCTGAGTATGGTTCTCTATCATAAGGCCTTATTTTAGTCACATACATATTGAGTTCAATGTGATCATTGATTTTGAGGTGTTTATGGTTTCCAAGAAAAAACAGCAGAATTATCAAGTTAGGGTGATTCCAGTGTTAGAATAAACAAGGAATAACTTTTAAAAGTGAAATAAGTAAATAGGTGGCTAACACCTGTAGTCCCAGCACTTTGAGAGGCTGAGGCAGGTGGATCACCTGAGGCCAGGAGTTCGAGACCAGCCTGACCAACACGGAGAAACCCCTTCTCTACTAAAATACAAAATTAACCAGATGTGGTGGCGCATGCATATAATCCCCGCTACTCAGGAGGCTGAGGCAGGAGAATCCCTTGAACCCAGGAGGCAGAGGTTGCGGTGAACCGAGATTGTGCCAGTGCACTCCAGCCTGGGCAACAAGAGTGAAACTCCATCTCAAAAAAACAAGACTACCAAAAAAAAAAAAAAAAATCCAAACAAAAACCCTATCACAGCCCAGCATGGTGGCTTAAGCTTCTATTCCTAGGACTTTGGGAGGCTGACGTGGCAGTGGTATGATCTCAGCTCGCTACAACCTCTGCCTCCCACTTAAAGCTAGCCTAGACAACGAAGAAAGGCCTTATCTCTACAAAAGGTAAGAAAATTAGCCAGGCCTGGTGGTGCACCCTAAGTCACAGCTGAGTCGTTCCTGCTTGAGGCCAGGAGTTCAAGGTCGTAGTGAGCCAGGATCACACCACTGCATTCTGGCCTGGGCAAAAAGGTAAGACCCCAGCTCAAAAGAAAAAAAAAGGCAGAATAAATCATAAAGGCAAATTTCAAACTTTCCTTCCTCTCTTCACTCTTTAGAAAAATCAGCGTTTATTTACAGAACATCCATCTACCTGCAAGATAAGTGGTGTAAGTACAACAAACCTGCCATCACCCAAAACCCATTGGTTGAAGAGGGACCTTTAGGCAAATAGAAACTTCGTTGCCTAATTCTACCATCTGACCCCACGAGTTTGCCATTGGCTCAGGTGCTGTGCCTTTCTGGAGGCTGGTTTGCTGCCGTGGGAAGGAAACAGGAGAGGAAGCCCCCGTGGAGACGCAAGGGAAGCCCTGCCCACCCAGGCCTTACCTCACCAAGCCAGCCGTCTTGCCTTTTGCTCTGGCCTGTGCGTAGAGAGCTCGGCCCACAGTTTTCTCCTTAATAGAACTCCTAAATGTTGTGCCATCCACAGTCCTAGAAAATGACAGAAGGCAACCAGTTGGTCAGAATAGGAATCTTTTTTTTTTTTTTTTCTCAAGGCAGGGTGTTGTTCTGTGCCCAGGCTGGAGTGCAGTGGTGCGATCTTGGCTCACCACAAACTCTGCCTCCTGGGTTCAAGTGATTCTCCTGCCTCAGCCTCCTGAGTAGCTGGGATTACAGGTGCGCACCACCACACCCAGCTAATTTTTTGTACTTCTTAGTAGCAATGGGATTTCACTATGTTGGCCAGGCTGGTCTTGAACTGCTGACCTGGTGATCCGCCTGCCTTGGCCTCCCAAAGTGTTGGGATTACAGGTGTGAGCCACCACGCCAGGCCCAGAATAGTGATTATCAAAACAAACAAGAGCAAGCAAACAACCCAACAAGGCTGATTTAATGAATGAGGGCAGTGATCATTTCATGTCTATAAGAATAAGAAGGGAGGCATTTGACTCATCCATAGACAGGACTTCCTTTATTGGACAGTGTGACTTGAGAGGGGTTAGGTAGGCTTCCATCCAAAAACCTTTCCCTCGTGTACCGTTGTTTGCCTTTAGATTTTTCCTCATTTTTGAATTTCATCTTTTAGATTAAGCATGGTTCTCTTTGTATATTCCCTTCGAATGACAAATGTTACTAGGAGAGGTGACTGATAAATTCCGAGTTATCTCGTTACTTTTGGTTCATCAGGTCATTCTACGAGTTAAGAATTTGGCATAGCTGTCTGGGTGCAGTGGCTCACGCCTGTAATCCCAGCACTTTGGGAGGCTGAGGTGGGGAGATCATGAGATCAGGAGTTCGAGATCAGCCTGGCCAATATGGTGAAACCCTGTTTCTGCTAAAAATACAACAAAAAAATTAGCTAGGCATGGTGGTGTGCCTGTAGTCCCAGCTACTCAGGAGGCTGAGGCAGAAGAATCACTTGAACCCAGGAGGCAGAGGTTGCAATGAGCTAAGATCTTACCACTGCACTCCAGGCTGGGGAAAGAGTGAGACTCCATCTCAAAGGAAAAAAAAAAAAGAGAAGAAAAAGAATTTGGCATAATAGCTGTGGGGTGTGCAATGGACTGAATGTCACGTTCCCCCAAATGTGTATGTTGAACCTTACTTCCTAGTGCAATGGCATTAGGAGGTGGACATGAGGGCCTTTCCCTCAGGAATAGCAGTTGGTCCTCTCACAAAAGAGACTTCGAAGAGTTCTCTCATCTCTTTCCATCCTGACTGAACCAGGAAACGGGCCCTCACCAGACATGAAGTCTTCGGGCACCTTGATCTCGGACTTCCCAGCCTTCAGAACTGTGAGAAATCAATTTCTGCTGTTTATAAGCCGCCCATTTGATAGTACTAAGTCGTCGCAGCCAGAGCTGATGAAGACAGAATATTATGCGCCTCTGCCAGGGTGGAAAAGAATAAAGAGAAACGGGAAGGTGCTGGTGGGTCCCCTGCCGTGCTGGTGTTTATCTAGAAACCACCTCCCTCGGGGACCTCTGTCTTCTCTGTGCATCTCATCTCTCTGCATCTTACTTTTAGCTGGCTAGCACCTAATCCTTACCAGATAATGGTTGGTCAGAGCAGTAGAATCTGAAATTTTGGAAATAATGGGAACTTCTTGTACTCAAATGGGCAGTGTCTTTCCCAAGGAGCAATTTAGAAATGTGTGAAGTTTGGGTTGTTGAGATGACCCGGAAGTGCTGCCGGCATTTGTGGGAGGGCACCAAGAATGTCAGTCATTCTGGAATGTGAGGGACAGCTCCACTGAAGAATTTTCCTGCCCCAAATGCCAACAGCACGTGTTGAGGCACACTTCTAGTTTGCCCCTTTGGGTGAGCGACATCGGACCCGGGAGACAGGCGACTCTTGCTCAAGGTCACACTTCTGGTTTGCCCCTTTGGGTGAGCGACATCGGACCCCGGGAGACAGGCGACTCTTGCTCAAGGTCACACTGCTGGTTAAGGCCATCACGTTTCTATCAGGTCATAACCAAGCCTCAAAGGCAAAAGAGTCTTTAGGATGAAGGAAATCACCTCCCGTGGAATATTCGGGATCTTGATAAAAAGGTAGAAGGGATACTTTGGCTGGTACATCAGTCTACACAGCTCATTTTAAATTCTTCTCTGGTCTTAAAAATTCAGCCCAAAACAGAGGGAGATCAAAGTAAATGCATGTTTCATGATTCTGTCCTTTGTACTTAAAATCTTCTATGTAATGAGATAGTGAAGAAAGAAAAGAATGAAGGATGGAATACTATGCAGCCATGAAAAGGAATGAGCTCACGTTCTTTGCAGGGACATGGTTGGAGCTGAAAGTCATCATCCTCAGTAAACTAACACAGGAACAGAAAACCAAACATCACATGTTCTCACTCATAAGTGGGAGTTGAACAATGAGAACACATGGTCACAGGAATGGGAACAACACACACTGGGGCCTGTTGGGGGTGGGGTACAATAGAAGGGAGAGCATTAGAACAAATAGCTAACACATGCAGGGCTTAAAACCTAGATGGGGCTGATAGGAGTAGCAAACCAAAATGGTACATGTGTACCTATGCAACAAACCTGCACATCCTGCACTTGTTTCCTGGAACTTAAACTAAAAAAAAAAAAAGAAGAAGGAAGACAGAAGGAAGAGAGCCTACGAGAGTTCTGATCATGTGGTTTAAAAACAGAAATTTATTAAAATAGTTTTCAATATCATTTTTAGACATGGGGTCATCTAGCACCACTGCAGAAAAGCCTTTCCTTCTCCCTCTGTTTTTTTAGAAAAGGCAGACAGAAGAAGGGATACATTAAAGCCAGTTCAAAGGATAACAATCAAAGTGACGTGATGCCTTTTTCTGGCGGCTTGGTTTTGTTTAAAAAATAGAGTTCACATGACCTCTCCTTTCAGCAGCCAGAGTGCATGGTGGCTGAACCCTTTACTATTCATCCACGATGACCGTTGCTTACCTTGGTGCATGAAAGACAAAAGTGGATGAGGCCCAGCATGGTGGTTCACGCCTATAATTCCAGCACTTTGGGAGGCCGAGGCAGGTGGATCACATGAGGTCAGGAGTTCGAGACCAGCTTGACCAACATGGAGAAACCCCGTCTCTACTAATAATACAAAATTAGCCAGGTGTGGTGGCTCACGCCTGCACTCCCAGCTACTTGGGAGGCTGAGGTAGGAGAATCACTTGAATCCAGGAGGCAGAATTTGCTGTGAGCTGAGACCATGCCATTGAACTCCAGCCTGGGCAACAAGAGTGAGTGAAACTCCATCTCAAAAAAAAAAAAAAAAAGTGGACGAGAAATAACTCAGCCTAACGTCTTCATAAAAATACGACCTAGGCTTTTCGCACGATTCTGTGCTGTGTTCTTGGCAACATAAGAGGGACACTGACTGCCCGGAATATACTCCGGGATGGCCGCCTTGATATTTGGACATAGACATCATTTCAATCACTTGAAGGAACACAGAATATTTAACTTTGATACACAAAGCCTCCAAGTGGATAACTGGCATTAACTGTTTGGAAAGTATTGGCGTTATTTAACATTTTTTTATTATGAAAAATTTCACACACATAGAAAATAGAGAGACTAATATGTGATGTCCATGAAGCCATCACCGATTTACACCATTATGAGGACTCAGCCAATCTTAACTGGTCTATACCCTCATGCTTCGTGCTTTCCACCTCAGTTGTTAAGAAGCTAAGCTCAAAAAAAAAAAAAGAAGCTAAGCTCAGATGGCACATGGTTTCATCTGTGAGCACTTCAATATGTATTTTGTAGAGGACTTTAAAACAATTCTATGTGATTCTCTCTAGAGTCATTGGGTAGAAAGTGGAAAATGTTAATTAAGTGTAAGAAATGACTCTAACAGGCCGTCAACCGTTGAGTTAATTGCCTTGGGAAACAGTGAGTTTATCATTAAGCAAATCATCACACACTTGTCAGGGGTGTTACAGAGGAGGTCACGCCCTGGATAAGTGATTGGATTTAATCTGTGGTTCTCAACATTTTTTTTTCCCATAGAGAAACATACGGCAGATGACACGGACTGCTGTACATATGCTTTTATGTGGTTTCCTATAAGCCAGAGCAACCCAGTATATTTTTCTCTTCCCAAGAAAGTATATTAAAAAAAAGTAAGTGTGAGGTTGTTACCATAGAGATAGCCTTAAGTTTGCTTTTACTAATTAGAAATAAAAAGCAAATAATTCACAAAGTCTAATGCTTTAAACAGGATCAAATTATTGGGACCAACCTCACAATGACCCCTGACATCCAGATGGTCCACAGCTCTGGAGGTGAGAGCCATTGGGACAGTTGACCATGAAGGTTCATTCTAACTATGAGGGGTTTTGGTTCTGTGAGTGGAGAACACACAATTTCTGGCTCTACACAGAAGTTACTCACATGGAGAAGTTGGAAATGAAGGCTCCTTTGGGAATCTGAACATCAAACATGACATTCTGAGGCTGCGGGGAGTTGTTCACCAGTTTGCTCTGGATCATGGTGGTGGCCATCCGAGAAGTGATGGTGGACTGGACTTTATAGGTATAAAGAGTTACTTGATCAACCTCTTCCTGAAATTGGCAAGAAAGCATAACTGTACTAATCAAAAACCACACAGACCTTCATCAGATGCAGTGCATTTGATGTTAACAGCACGGCATTTTACTTGTTTTACAAGCAGAACAATTCCAGGGCATTGGTAAGGACAGAACTCGGGTGTTAAGCATTCCCCTAACTGCTTGGAACACCCAATGAGCAGAAATCTGCCTCCGTTTCAAGATACCTTGAGCTAAAAGGCATTTTCAGGCCTAGGAATCTATAAATAGTGATTTTTCAAAAATCATTAGACTGCAAGTAGAAAATGGTTACAGAAAGCCAGATTGGATTGAGGAAGTCCAGGAAATAGCTCCAAAGGTAGGACCACCAGCTGGGGAAGGGATACTAGACTGCGAGGTTGAAAGAGGACCCCGGTTGCATCTTCAATAAGGGGCAGACAGAGGTTCTGTGGGGTGGAAACCCATGTGTGACCTCCAGCAACCCTCCCTGCAGCTCTTGCCTATTAATTTTTAATAGACAAATTAAGATTGTATGTCTATTATCATTTCATCTGCAATCCTTTTCTTCTCCCCCAAACTAGGATGGGTGTAAGCAAAGGACTGTAAACAAGGCAGTCTTGCCTATTAATTTGTAATAGACAAATTAAGATTGTATGTCTATTATCATTTCATCTGCAATCCTTTTTTTCTCCCCCAAACTAGGATGGGTGTAAGCAAAGGACTGTAAACAAGGCAGTCTTGCCTATTAATTTGTAATAGACAAATTAAGATTGTATGTCTATTATCATTTCATCTGCAATCCTTTTCTTCTCCCCCAAACTAGGATGGGTGTAAGCAAAGGACATTGATCTTGGACAGGGCATTCCGATGCAGGTATCAGTCCAGCACTCTAGACCCCCTTGCCGGATCGCTACTGATTTAAAGCAGCTCCAGTATGAAGAATCTCATATATAAGTACGCTGCTCAAAGGCAAAGTCCTAGAATCCCACATCTTTCAAGAGGCACCCGAGAGCAGCAAGCTCCTTCAGGTCATGACAACTGTGGGACCCATCAGATTTTGTTTATTTCTCCAAAAGAATTTACTTATCTCAACACCAGGTCTCATTCCCCGCACTTTACAGTCCAACATTCAACCTTTCGACTCATTAACCATGCAGCTCACCTTAAGCTAAAATAAAATCCGGGCTAATCTACGTGTCCTCCTCTCCCTGAAGTGTGCACTTGTGCAGGTTTTCACCAGTTCAGGGCAGCAAGCACAACATGAGCCACTCCCTCAGGCTGGCTGTTTTCTTGCCACAGGAAGGTCTACGCTGAACATCTCAGGGAACTGGGCCATTTTGTGTTTAAGATTTCCTTCCCATGGGCACTCTTTTATTCTCCAAAGCTGTCAGGCGTCATACTTTAAACCCAAATGGTGCCAGACTCGGTGGCTCACACCTGTGATATCAGCACTTTGGGAGGCCGAGGTAGACGGATCACCCGAGGTCAGAAGTTCAAGACCAGCCTGGCCCACATGGTGAAACCCTGTCTCTACTAAAAATACAGAAATTAGCTGGGTGTGGTGGTGAATGCCTGTCCCAGCTACTCAGGAGGCTGAGGCAGGAGAATTGCTTGAACCCGGATGTGGAGGTTGCAGTGAGCTGAGATTGCGCCATTGCACTTCAGCCTGGTTGACAAGAGCAAAACTCTTGTCTCAAAAAATAAACAAACAAATAAAAATAAATACATAAATAAAAATGGTTAAGTTGGAATAAATACATAAATTTACATAGTGGGATGGAGCCTATGCTATATGGCAAAACTCAAGAAGACAAAGAGAAGGGACCCTTCATTTCTTGGTGGCCTCTCTCCTGTCTGAAAAGACTGCACTCTTCAAAGCTGAATTTTAGAAACACTGCCAAACAGTTGGGCAAGGCAGTATTTTGAAAGTCAGGTAAATACTCCATGACAAAGATAAAAGAGATGCCCAGATTGATTTCCCAGCAATGGTTAACAGGAAAATCATTCAATCTATGACAGCATCGAAGTCAACTTACCAAGGTTTCTCCCGATTCTCCCGGAAGGCTCCTCTGTGAAAGGAAGTTAGAAAATCATTCTCCAACTATATGTCATTTACTACCTTGAGGGCCAAAACCATTTCCTCAGTCAAAAAAAAATTTTTTTTTAATTTTTCTTCAATACTGAGCTGTTACTCATTCGCTGGAGCTGAGACATAAATACTGAACATTCTTGAAAACTATTTTCCCACTGGTGAGATTCTCAACAGGTTTGGTTGTCTGCATGTCATTCTTGGATATAATGCTAAAACAAATAACTTTTAAATAAAAATGGCCGACCAAATGCACCTTGGGTTGTGTATACCCCCTTGATGCTATTTGCTCCATTTTTTAATTCAGTTGAATGGAGACTTGGAAACTCCATTCTGCCATGAGGCTGTGGGCATGCTGTTCCCACCGTCTGCCCTGCTCCCACTAGGTTTCTCAACCCTCATATAGAGACTCTGACTCACCCCTCCAATCTCAGCTCCAGCAGAATTTCTCCAGTGAAAATCTCTCATGCCCCAAGACTAGGTCGGTCTCTTTTGCTAAGTGTTTTCACAGCAGCATATTCCTTCCTGCGGGGCTTGCTTCATAAAGATTCATTCTATTTGAGGGATTGACTAACGTCTGTCTATTTCTTTAAACTAAGCTACATAAAAGCAGGGATTTTCACGTATTCCCTCTACAGTGTAACCCCAGAGCCAAGCACAGTGACTGGCGCCTAGAAAATCTATGATCTTAACCATGATGCCAGGAGATTATCCACACCCTTGACTGTCCTGCGTACATAGACAGAGGCGATTCCGTCGCCTTTGAAAGTGAGTGGCTTAAGAGTGGTGGGTGAACACGTAATGTCTGGTGAGCTGTTAATAATAGGTCCGAGAGGGCTGGGCACAGGGGCTCACGCCTGCAATCCCAGCACTTTGGGAGGCTGAGGTGGGTGGATCACCTGAGGTCCGGAGTTCTAGACCAGCCTGACCAACATGAAGAAACCCCATCTCTAGCTAAAATACAAAATTAGCTAGGTGTGGTGGCACATGCCTGTAATCCCAGCTACTTGGGAGGCTGAGGCAGGAGAATTGCTTGAACCCGGGAGGTGGAGGTTGTGGTGAGCTGAGATCATGCCATTGCACGCCAGCCTGGGCAACAAGAGCAAAACTCCACCTCAAAAAAAAAAAAAAAAAAGGTCCAAGAAAACAGGTGTTGGATATAAGCTCAGCTTGCCTGATTTGGGACAATCCGAGGTTCCAGTGGGTGCTGCGTGACATGGTGAGGTCAGTGGTGACCTCTTCTCGTAGACTTCTTGAATGAATCCTCAATGACGAATTTTTCTGTCTTGTGGCTAAATAAGTTGTGACATGAAGTCTTGCTTATTGGGTTTTAATATTATTTGGTGTCCAAAAACCCCCTGGATTTTCAGAAAGTCAAAAGTTCATACCCATACAGAATAAAGCATTGATCAGCTTGGTGTTTGCTGCTTCTGTAAACACCTCCTTTCTCAGCATGTGGGCTCCACTGGGAAGAAGCCAAACCTTTCCTGGTGTTCTGGAAAACTCGCCCCATTAATTAGAAGGTTTTGTCTGTACTGCTGCTGGTGGTCTCCATGATTGCAACTTCCAATGTGGCCAGTTCTCCTTCTCAGGTGCTCTCAGTAAACAGAGGAAGGAGAATGTGAGGCTGCAGGGGGAAGTGTCTGTCATCGCTAAAATAAGAAGGCCTTCCTAACAGGAAATCCTTCCTCAAGAGGCAGGAAATAACGTCAGAATCTTAAGTTTTGAAGAAAACAGCCGTGTATTCTTTTTTTAAAAAATGGAGTGGGAACGGGGTCTCTCTCTGCTGCCCAGGCTGGTGCAATCATACCTCACTGCAGCCTTTAACTCCTGGGCTCAAGCGATCCTCCATTTCAGCTTCTCAAGCAGCTAGGACTACAGGTGCATGCCATTACACCCAGCTAATACATATATTAACTGGGTGGTGGAGATAGGGCCTCGCTATGTTACCCAGGCTGGTTTGGAACTCCTGGCCTCAAGCGATCCTCCCTCCAAAAGTGCTGCAATTATAAGCAGGAGTCACTGTGCCTCGTCATGTATTCTTTAAGGTACTAAGTTGACCATTATGGTGTGAAGGGTGCTGAGAAGCTGTGTGAATTTCTCTGTTTATTTCTCCTGGGTGATCTTTCCACCAAAGTGTAAGACCAATGGACTCTTCTCTGCTAAAAAACAAGCTCTTAGGAAAATCCAGCTGGGTGCGGTGGCTCACGCCTATAATCTCAGCACTTGGGGAGGCCAAGGCGGGTGGATCACGAGGTCAAGAGATAGAGACCATCCTGGTCAACATGGTGAAACCCCGTCTTTACCAAAAACACAAAAATTAGCTGGGCATGGTGGCGTATGCCTATAGTCCCAGCTACTCTGGAGGCTGAGGCAGGAGAATTGCTTGAACCCAGGAGGCGGAGGTCGAGATGAGACGAGATCGCGCCATTGCACTCCAGCCTGGGTAACAAGAGTGAAACTCCGTGTCAAAAAAAAGAAAGAAAGAAAGAGAGAGAGAGAGAGAGAGAGAGAGAGAGAGAGAGAGAGAGAGAGAGAAAGAGAGAAAGAAAGAAAGAAAATCTAGCAGAAGGCATCTTAACACTTACCTTACTTCTTCCGAAATAATCTCTTTCATTTATTTTCGCTATTGGAAGTAAAGCTTACCATACCTGATATCTCTGGTTCTCTGCCACAAATTGAAATTTTCCTGGGGCCAGTTCCACCAGATCTTTATATTCTACAAACTTAAAAAAACGGGATTTTAATTTTTTTTAAGAGTGATACTTAAAAAAGTATCTAGAGCTAAAGAGATAGCTGGTGGTATTCATCATTTTGTATTCTTTTTCTACCTCTTGACAATCACAGTTTAGCATAAAATGAGTTCTTCAATATATTTCTATTTGCTGGTTACATCTCAGAGGTGTCCAAATGGAAGGTAACACCTTCACATTTGTTGGACGTGGAAATTCAGTTTTGAGTTTGCCCACAGGTGGTAAGACAGGGATCGAACAACCCGGTGATTCGGTGGGTGTCTGCGGAAGTATCTGGGTAGACCATGGAGGCATTTGCAGTGCCTGACTGGACAGACATAAACCATACATCTCCCCAAGTTAAAACTGTAGGTATTTTATAAAGGGAATGCCAGTTAGAAATGACTGAAAAAGCACAAACGCATTTGGATGTCTTGGCTTCAATCTGAGATTTCCAACACACTCTGGTGGCTTTTAAGTGTTGGAAAATCTGATAGTTTCAAGGCAGACAGAGTGATATTTTCCCTTTGTAAATGTGCCATCATATTCTCTGGTATTTTTGTAGGTAATCAAGTATTATAAGCCTTTGCATTTGCCAGGATATTCCTATAACACACTTTGCTTTTCTGGCATCAAAATAGCTCCTGTATGATTTTCAGAAACAGCCTTTTGGCCCAAGACTTTCCTTATGTTGGAGATGGCTGGGGGGCCACTGTCGAGACCTACAACCCATGGGAATTATTCTTGTACTTTTCCATCCTGCTTGCCACCTTCCCCTTTAATAGGAATACTTAAAGGGCCCTTATTACAAATGTTGTTGTTCACTTAGGTGTGAAAATCAGTGTGCTTTGATAATGACTTTTCTTACACCCCCAGTAAAAGAGTGATAATATATCTTCGTCATCATAATAGCTAATAATTATTAAGCACTTATCCGTCCAGGTACTCTGCTAGATAGTTTACCCTGTGTCACTTAATTCTCAAAGCAAACTTTGGGTTAGGTCTATTCTCACCCCCATTTTTTAGGTGAGGAGTGAGTAGCTGTGCTCCATAAATGCTATGCTCTGATGCCTGCCCACTGACCTTGACTTAATTCTCATGCAAAACCTGTTAATGCTTTAAAAGGTAAATAGACATTCCAGTAATTATAACAGTAAACCCTTGCACTCAGATGAATTTTATCATAAGTTTCCGTTACACACAGAATAAGGCTATTGAATAGCAATTACAGTCGCCTATTGACTGAGCATATGTACAGGACAAGGAGCGATCTGAAAGTACTTACCTCAGAAAGTCCATTTATGGGGATTTCGAAGCCTGGTACTTCAGAAAGAAAGAAGCAGATGAAAAAGCACGTGAGTCGTTTCATTTTGCTGGAGAGTTTTGCCAAGCTCCCCAAAGCAGATGGTCTGGGGAGGATATCACTTCTTCCTACTGAACCAAGTTCAAAGGAACAGCAGAGTACAGTTCACTTTAAGAAAGAGAAAAAAAAGAGGAAAAAAACCTCTCTAACTTTGTTCAAAATTGGGACAAATATTTGTTCTGGAGCTCAAACTTGAGCTGTGTAGGTGGATCGAACACCCAGAGGTTATTCAAATAGCTAAGTCAGAAGCAGTTTCTCCGTGTGAGGACAAGTCAGGGGAAGACAGATGTGCATTTTTTTTTTTTTTTTTTTGCTGATTTATATTCATCTTAAAATCAGAGAGACCTAAAGATAATTGTCATCCTTTCTAAAGGTCCAAGTGCAAAACTATTCCAAGAAACAAAATCCTTTGATCTAAATTGAAGTAGAAAAAATTTGGAAAAAGTGGGAGAAGACACAGAGTGGTTTTTCTGAGCGAGGAATTCACTGTGCATGTACCTCTCTCTGACTGATTACCTGTTACCTATACAGAACCAGGCAAGTTGCTGTGCAGGACACCAGGGCAGATCTTCAGTGAGGATGCTTCGTGAATGTCTTTGATTAAGGTAACACTGTCGGTCCTGCTGCCCGCTTCAGCTGGGCTCAGGTCAGTGGCAAATTGGTGCTCCCCAGTCTCAGAATTGGAGGAAGCCCAGGCTGGAAACAGACTACATTATCCCTTCTCATTCATGGTACAGGCGTCATAATAATGTCAGCTAAAATTTACTGAGCCCTTCCTGGTGTCTGGCACTTCTATGTACTTATCTTTAAATTCTTTTTTTTCTTTCTTTTTCCTATTTATTTATTTTTACAGACAGTGTCTTACTCTGTTGCCTAGGCTGAAGGGCAGTAGCGGCATGCTCATAGCTCACTGCAACCGAGAACTCCTGGGCTCAAGCGATTCTCCTGCCTTAGCCTCCTGAGTAGCTGGGACTACAGGCATGTGCCACCACACACAGCTATTGTTGTTGTTTTTGGAGAGACAGGGTCTCACTATGTTGCCCAGGCTGGTCTTGAACTTCAGGCCTCAGGTGACCCTCCTGCCTGGCCTCCCATAGTGTTGAGATTACAGGTGTGAGCCACTGCACCTGCCTTTTATTTTTTAATCTATTGAAGAACCATATGAAGCGTGTTAAATCATTACTTGACCTCAAGTGATCCACCTGCCTTGGCCTCACAAAGTGTTGGAATTACAGGCATGAGCTACTGCGCTTGGCCTGATCCCAAAGTCTTAAAAACAAAAACAAAAAACAAACAAAATCAACAACAGCAATTTCTCTCTCTCAATGTTCAGAAGCACGACAGAGCAGGCTGTGTATTCAGGCTACTGGGTCTTGAACCTGAGATTTTTCTCCCCTTGCACTCCCCACCCCACTGCCAACCCCTCCCATCATGCCTGGGCAGCTGTGACATGGTGAATTGGAAATACTCACTGTTACTTAAATGCCTCTGATTTATAGGATGGAAATCACTGCTCTAAATGCCACAAGAATATTCATTTTCATGTATGTGAAAACCAGTAGGAAATCTATAAGAAAAAAAATTCTCCCAATATTTCATAATGTTTGAACAAAGAGATAACATTTAGTACTCACTGGGAATTTTGACGAATCTCAATAAACTTGAGATTCATCACTGAGTGTAAGTCATTGTGGCTTAGCTGACAGTATGACAGTAGCTGCCTCGCATTTGTAGCATGCAGCTCCAGCTCTGTCACTGTGAAAGGGCATGTTTGTAAAAGTCCAAAGTCAAAGCTGGATGAATTCACTGGAAAAAAGCTGTATTGGACCCTGACCTGCTTGTTTGGTGGGTCAGCTTGCGCATAACATGGAGCAGGTCAGTTTTCTACACATATTTGAGCTGTGATGCCCTCCTCCTGATTGCAAAGACATTTTGTTTTAGCTTCTTCAAGGATGGTCTGTTTGAATTTCCAAAGACAACCTTTGATTACCCCGCTACATCTTTTGCCCTCTCTAATTCAGAGGTGTGGTTTTTTTGTTTTTGTTTTTTAATAGAGACAGGGTCTTACTCTGTCACCAAGGCTGGAGTGCAGTGGTGCAGTCATGACTCACTGCAGCCTTGACCTCTGGACTCACGCAATCCTCCCATCTCAGCCTCCCAAGTAGCTGAAACCACTGGCACACACCGCCACACCCAGCTAATTTGTGTGTGCGTGTGTGTGTATTTTGTAGAGATGAGGTTTCATCATGTTGCCCAGGCTTGTCTTGAACTCTTGGACTCAAGCAATCCACACATGTTGGCCTCCCAAAGTGTTGGGATTGCATGTGAGCCGGTGTGCCTGGCCAGGTATGGGTTTACATCATTTGGGGCCAGAAGATGAAGACATTTTAGAAGAAAAATACTTGAAACTGAACAGCAGTATCACAAGCCAGAAAAGGGAAGTTACAGAGCAGGGAGTGGACTCTTTCATTGGTTCTTAAGCCATGGAAACTTGACTTTGCTGTTGAGCATTTCAGTTTTTTCCTCTTCTGTTTTCCTTGCCTCTGAAGCTCAAATTCAAATCCATTGCCAGAGTAGAGAAATCGAGAGTAGAGCAGACATGTGACCAGCCACAATAGGTCAATTCCAGTCTAGCAGCTTTTGCTGTTCTTGCCAGGGTGTCTGGGTGTTTTCTGGTGAGGAAAGAGTCCCACCTGGAAGTGGTCTCACCATCACACAAGATACGGTGCTGATATTTCAGGTGCAGGATGGGAAGCACCTTCACATGAGTAACTGTGGCTCCCTCCAAGGTGTAAACAGGGCGAAGGGTGTGTTTGGATATCTGAGCCCCAGGGATGTGAGAGGTTATCTCGCTGAATCCTCTAGTTCAAAAGATGATGAAAGGCTCACAGTGGTTAAGTCATGTGGCCAAGAGAGGGCAAAAGATGTAGCAGAGGCCGGGCACGGTGGCTCACGCCTGTAATCCCAGCACTTTGGGAGGCCAAGGCAGGTGGATCACGAGGTCAAGAGATTGAGACCATCCTGGTCAACACGGTGAAACCCTGTCTCTACTAAAAATACAAAAAATTAGCTGGGCATAGTGGTGCGTGCCTGTAATCCCAGCTACTCAGGAGGCTGAGGCAGGAGAATTGCCTGAACCCGGGAGGCAGAGGTTGCGGTGAGCCAAGATCACGCCATTGCACTCCAGCCTGGGTAACAAGAGTGAAACTTCGTCCCCGCCCCCCCCCCCCAAAAAAGATGTAGCAGAGTAATCAAGTGTCATCTTTGGAAATTAAAACAGACAATCCTTGAAGAAGCTGTAAGAAAACGTCTTTACAACCAGAAAGAAGACATCAGAGCTCAAATATGTGCAGAAAACAGATTTTCTCCAGGCTATATGTGCAGCCAGTCGTGCCTGGAGAAGTGGGAAGGGTCAAGATGCAGGGTCCAGATTGGTGGTGGCGATGGGACCTGGACTGAACAGCATGATTCGACAGCCTCCCTGTCAACCCCTTACCCAGTCTGCCCCTCTGACTAATGAGCTGTCTTCATGACTTTGGGAAAAAATCTCTGTGTGCCTCAATGTTCCCATCTGAAAGATGGGAATAATAAATAATACTCACCTATGAGCATGTATGAAGGACTTAGAGCAGTTTCTGGAACACATTGTGTTAACTAACTGCTAGTGACTACTAGCAGTGTTAAAACAGGTCAGCACAGTGGCTCACACCTGTAATCCCAACACTTTGGGAGGTCAAGTCAGGAGAATCACTTGAGGCCAGAAGTTTGAGACCTGGGCAACATAGCCTGACCTTGTCTCTACATTTTTTTTTTTTTTTTTTTTTTTTTTTGGAGACAGAGTCACTCTGTTGCTCAGGCTGGAGTGCAGTGGTGCCATGTCAACTCAATGCAGCCTCCGCCTCCCAGGTTCAAGCAATTCTCCTGCCTCAGCCTCCCGAGTAGCTAGGATTTCAGGCGCATGCCGCCACATCCAACTAATTTTTGTATTTTTAGTACAGACGGGATTTTGCCATGTTGGTCAGGCTGGTCTGGAACTCCTGACCTCAGGTGATCCACCCGCCCTGGCTTCCCAAAGTGCTGGGATTACAAGCATGAGCCACTGCACCCTGCCAAGACCTTCATAAGGGTCTCAGGAGGCAGCAGGAACCACACCATCTTCAGGCATAACATGTTGGGCTTGAGTCCAAGCCAGAGACATAGGCCAGTCCTCGTCAGATTTTGAGAGGCAGACTAATTTTTCAGCAGACCCAGGAGCTGGTAACACACACGTAACCCATAAACACTCCCCATATGTCATAGCTGGATACTTCCCTTGGATTTTAGAGCTTGCAAATGGCAAGGGGCCATTTACTGCCTAAAGAATTGGTGATGATACAGTGCTTGGTTGAACATTAAGTTGAACTAATTTTACTTCTCCTTGCTGTGCTGTTTCTAAACTGTCAGATCCAGATTCGACAAGCACAAATTGACTGTAATGTGTCTATCATGGATGAGGTGGGGAATGAAGTTGGAATGAATTCTCGTCTGGTTAATTATAGAACCAGTTGTTTGAACAAATCCAACCAGAAAAGCTCTGATGACCATGATGATGTTAACTAGAAGACATTAACTTAGTGGTAAGAAACAGGGGTCTAGAGTTCACTCAACTGGTTCAAATGAAATATGCTTGAAATAAACACAAGCGATGAAGAAGGTGTGTTGAATATAAATTCTAGAAGTACTACATTAAAGTCTCAGTGCATTCTCCACTGTAGACCACGCCTAAAACATTGCATTCAATTCTGGGTGAAATATTATATAAAAGACTTTACTAAATTAGAGGCAAACCATTGAAGGTGGGTCAGGATAGAGATTCAAAACTGTTGTACAAGAATATGCTATTAATACACATTTCAAGAAAAATGTGTGGCCCTCCCTCCAGCGGCCCAGGCCGAGAGAGGCATGGCATGTGGCAGGGAGCAAGGAAACATGGAGGACACATGGCAAAATGCTTCTACCTGGACACGTGGCACGGCGTTTCCACTTGTAGTTCACTGGCCCCCGCAAGCCACATGGCCAGGCTTCATTTCAAGAGGGTGGGGGATTGCAGTCTTTGCTGGCCTGGAAGTAGAAGCAGACTGGATCTTGGTATAGAATAACATCAGCCACTGGAGGAAAGTGCTGAGGTTGGGAGTTGAAAGGAAGTCAATGTGACCGTGAGAATAAGCCCCAGAATTTGCAAGAATCTTGGGAGGGCCCTCGAACTTGGCAGTTCAGAATAGCACATTCAAATAACCTTTGCATAGACAGCAAAGGTGAGTGACTTTAGCTGAGGAAGGGTCACTATGCATCAAACATTTGTACTTTCTTTTTTTTTTCAACTATTATTTTGAGTTCAGGGGCACATGTGCAGGGGAACATTTTCAGGATGTGCACATTTGTTACGTAAGTAAACACGTGCCGTGGTGCTTTGCCACAGAGGTCATCCCATCACCTAGGTATTAAGCCCAGCATCCATTAGCTATTCTTCCTGATACTCTCCCTCCTCCCACCCCCACCCTACAACAGGCCCCAGTGTGTGGTGTTCTCCTGGCCATGTGTCTGTGTGTTCTCATCATTCAGCTCCCACTTATGACGGAGAACATGCAGTATTTGGTTTTCTGTTCCTGCGTTAGTTTGCTGAGGATAACAGCCTCCAGTTCCATCCATGCCCTGCAAAGGACATAGTCTTGTTCCTTTTTATGGTTGCATAGTATTCCATGGAATATGTGTACCACACTTGCTTTATCCAGTCTATCACTGATGGATATTTAGGTTGATTCCATGTCTTTGCTATTGTGAATAGTGCTGTAATGAACATACACGTGCATGTTTCTTTATAATAGAATTATTTATATTCCTTATACCCCAAGTAATGGAACTGCTGGCTCAAATGGTATTTCTGCTCTAGGTCTTTGAGAAATCCACGCACTGTCTTCCACAACGGTTGAACTAATTTGCACTCCCACCAGCACTGTAAAAGCATTTCTTTTTCTCCACAACCTTGAGATCATCTTTTTTTTTTTTTTTGTCTTTTTAGTAATTGCCATTCTGACTGGTGTGAGATAATATCTCACTGTGGTTTCTATCTGCATTTCTCTAATAATCAGCGATGTCAAACTTTTTTCATATGTTTTTTGGCCACATGTATGTCTTGTTTTGAGAAGTGTCTTTTCAAGTCCTCTGCCCACTTTTTAATAGAGTTGTTTTTTTCTTGTAAATTTGTTTAAGTACCTAGTAGTTGCTGAATGTTAGATCTTTGTCAGATGGATAGATTGCAACATTTTTCTCCCATTCCGTAGGCTGTTTATTCTGATGATAGTTCCTTTCATGACGCAGAAGCTCTTTAGTTTCGTTAGATCTCACACGCATTTGTGCCTTCCATCACGACCTGCAGCCTCTCCGGAGGCACCAGGCGGTGACCCTGACTCTGCCGGGAGCCCCTTCCTCATATAGTGCAGAAAGTAAGTCTTTATGGTCAACGCATCAGGATAGTGCTGTTTTCTAGACTCACAGAGGGCGTTTTCCGTAGGAAGCTGCTGTGGACTCAGGAACGAGGGTCAGCAGCCTGGGAGAGTTTGGGAAGATAGCTTTAGAGCAACCGCTTACTGGGGGAAGGGCTCCCGTTTTACTCCGAGTTTCCGTGGTTACTTTCACGTGCAGCTCTGCCTAGGGCTGTTGGATGGTACCCACAGGAGGCTCCCGCAGTCCAGCAGCTCCCTTGAAATGGTCTTCAAAGTGAGTCTCCGCTAGATGGCGGGAGGCGCTCGCCTGTTTCCAGCTGATGGAACCAACCTGCGCTGAGGAAGGGACCAGGACCTTGAAGCTGGGGACGAGGCCTCACGCTGGGGACTGCTGAAATGTGCAGTTGGCGGATGTGAGGGACTAAGTCATGCTGTAATCATAACACAGTAAGGGGCTTTATCGTAGTAGTGTTAAATAAGTACACACTCAATAGCACAAGAACCAGTGATGCACTTTTTCCTCTCCCAAAGCATAGTCATGTATGAAAACTGTTACGGATTGATTCTGATACGAAATGTAGAAACAGAATGAATATGTAGGGGTGATTCATCTATAACATGTTATTCAGAGACTGCACTTACTAAGAGACGGTGTAGATACTCATTACAGGAAACTGAGCAGCCAATCAACCAATCGATCGTTACCGAGTATTTCTGCACGCACCGTCCGTTGTTAGACTGCACGGCCTGTCAGACGGTTGTACGTTATGGTTAAGGGTACAGGATCCGAGGCCAGACAGCCTGAGTTTTTATTACGCATTCGCTATGACCTTGGGCACGTTGCTGCACCTTTCTGGGCATCGGTTTCCTTATCCGTGAAACGGGAATAATCATACCTATCTCATAGTGTTATTGTAAAGACTCAGTCTTTGTGAAGCATTTCAAATACGGTCTTGAACACAGTAAGTGATATATAAATGTCAGTCATCACTATAATTGTTTGTTATGACATGGCTCTTTATAAAGACACTCATTCACTGGAGGGCTCAATGGAACAAAACTGTGTCATGTACATATTACGTGCTAGACAGGGTATTGATCACTATGGATGGATCAAAGGACTATGAGAATGGCTAAGGGGTGGCTTCTGTCTTATAGGATCTAGGAATTTCTTTCTTTCCCCTTCCTTCCTTCTTTCTTTCCCCTTCCTTCCTTCCTTCCTTCCTTCCTTCCTTCCTTCCCTTCTTTCATTTTATGCCAGCCCTGTGCTGTTTTGGTTACTGTATCATCAGCAAAGAGAAATCACTTGACTTCTTTTCCCATTTTGCTAGCTTTTATTTCTGTCTCTTGCCTTATTGCTCTGGCTGGGACTTCCAGTACTATGTTGAATAGGAGTGGTCAGAGGGGAATCCTTGTGTTGTTCCAGTTCTCAGGGAGAATGTTTCCAGCTTTTGCCCATTCAGCATGATGTTGCTTGTGAGTTTGTCATAGAAGACTCTCAGTATTGAGGTAGGTTCCTTCAACGTCTAGGTTGTTGAGGACTTTTAATCATGAGGGGATGCTAGATTTTATTGAAGGCTTTTTCTGCATCTATAGAAATAAACATATGGTTTTTGTTTTTAATGCTGTTTGTGTGGTGAATCACATTTATTAATTTCCACATGTTGAATCAACACTGCATCCCAGGAATAAACCATACTTGATCATGGTGTGACTTAATTTTTTGACATGCTGCTGGATTTGGTTCACTAGAATTTTGTGGAGGATTTTTGCATCTATATTCACCAGGGATGTCTGCCTGTAGTTTCATTTTCTTTTTTCCTTTCTTTATTATTTTTGTTGTTGTTGTGTATTTGCCAGATTTTGGTATGAGAATGACGCTGGCTTTGTAGAATGAGTTTTGTAATAGTTTCAGTAAAATAGGTACCGGGTCTTTGTAAAATTCTTTTCTGTCTGGTAGAATTCAAACATGAATCCATCAGGTTCGGGGCTCTTTTTTGTTGGTAGATTTTTAAGTTATAGATTCAATTTGGGAGCTATATCTTGGTCTGTTCAGGGTTTTAATTCCTGACCCAGTTTTGGGAGGTTGTTTCTTTCCAGGAATTTATCAATTTCTTCAAAACTTTCCAGTTTGTGTGCATGGAGATATTCATGATAGTCTCTGGGGAGCTTTTCTTCCTTCCTTCCTTCCTTCCTTCCTTCCTTCCTTCCTTCCTTCCTCCCTCCCTCCCTCCCTCCCTCCCTCCCTCCCTCCCTTCTTTCTTCTCTCTCCCTCCCTCCCTCCCTCCCTCCCTTCTTTCTTTCTTTCTTTCTCTCTCTCTCTCTCTCTCTCTCTCTCTCTCTCTCTCTCTCTCTCTCTCTCTTTTTTAAGAGACAGGGTCTTGCTCTGTTGCCCAGGCTGGAGTGCAATGGCATGACCTTGGCTCACTGCAGCCTTGATCTCCTGTGTTGAAGCAATCTCACCTCAGCCTCCCAAGTAGCTAGGATTACAGGCATGCACCACCATGCCAAGCTAATTTTTGTAACTCTATATATGTAGAGATGGGGTCTCATTTTGCTGCCCAGGCTTGTCTTGAACTCCTGGGCTCAAGTGATCCTCCTGTCTCAGCCTCCCAAAGCACTGGAATTACAGGTGTGAGCCAACATGTCCACCTGAATGCTTTGTATTTTTGGAACACAGACACATTGAAAAAGATTGTGTCATGTCACAAATTCTGAAACCTGACATTAAACAAATGCATGCACATGCACACAGACACATAGGCTTAAATTCCTGGGGCTTAAATAGTATTTTTGGAAGAAGTAAAACAAAGTAAGCCTACCTTGGGCTACCACTTATTAGCCATACGAACTTGGGCACGTTCTTAACCTGTCTTGTCTCTGCTTATCTGTAAGTCAGGATAATCACAGCCTCTACCTTGTGGGGTTGTTGAGAGGATTAAATGAGTTTACTGTAAATAAAGCACTTAAAACTATGCCTTGCATGTGTAAGCAACACAGAAAGGCTTACTATGATTATGATGCAAACTCTCACTGCCTTTATTCTGCCCTGTGGATGTAATTGACACACACATTTAATTTCAATCAAAGTGCCTGGATACAGCCATATAGACCTCTGTTCGGGTTTTTCTACATCTTAGGAATTAACATCGTCAACAAGACATTTAAGGTGTTTTAGTGGGATCACACATTTGCATCTGAGAATTGCAGGGGGCAAATATCTTCACTAAATTAAAACATCTTGAACTGCTTTGAAGAATTCATTCCACAAAAGAACCATCTTCATCCGAAGAAAGTTCATGTCACCGAAGCCCATTATTGGCTGCTGCAAGCCCCTAATAGACGGGCTGTCACTGTGGAGCTCAACCATCAAATTGTCTCAGAAAACACACTCTATTATTTTACAATTTTCTCTACATCGCCGTCCCAGCCTACCTGCAATTGTTGCAAGTTTTAAATTCCGAATTCCTGTGTCAGTTCCCGATATCAGTACTATCGGAGTATGACAGGTTGGTTTTTCTTTTGTTTTTAAAAATAATTATTAAACATTGAGGCAAAATTTATATAACATCAAATTAACCATTTTATTTATTTTCATTTTTTAATTTTTAAAGTAAGATTTTTATTTTTTGAGACAGGGTCTCGCTCTGTCACCCAGGCTGGGGTGCAGTGGCACAATTTCAGTTCACTGAAACCTCTGCCCCCTGGGTTCAAGCAATTCTCCTGCCTCAGCCTCCTGAGTAGCTGGGATTACAGGCGCCTGCCACCACATCCCACTAATTTTTGCATTTTTAGTACAGACAGGGTTTCACCCTGTTGGCCAGGCTGGTCTTGAATTCCTGACCTCAAAGTGATCTGCCTGCCTCAGCCTCCCAAAGTGCTGGGGTTACAGATATGAGCTACTGCACCAGCAAAAGTATGAATTTTTAATTTGTGATATTCCAGTTTTAAAATATTGGCAGTAATTACATTTTCATTTAATTTCTTGGAACTCTGAAGGCTGACCTTGTTTAGGCAAAATAAATATGTCTTTGGGCATTATCTCTCTCTTAATATTTAGGTGGTACAAGTGCAGGTTTTTTTTACATGTCTATATTGCATAGTGCAAATTACTCATTTCATTTAATTATTTTTTTTAATTTTTATTTTTTGAGAGATGGAGTCTTACTCTTGTTCTCAGGCTGGAGGGTAGTGGCATGATTTCAGTAACCTCTGCCTCCTGGATTCAAGCGATTCTTCTGACACAGCTTCCCAAGTAGCTGGGATGACAGGCACCTGCCACCACGCCCAGATTTTTTTTTTTTTTTTTTTTTTTTTTTTGTAGAGATGGGGTTTCACTATATGTTAGTCAGGCTGATCTTGAACTCCTGACCTCAGGTGATCCACCTGCCTTGGCCTCCCAAAGTGCTAGGATTACAGGCATGAGCCACTGTGCCCAGGCAACAAGTTACTCATTTAAAGTGAACGATTCAGTGGCATTTAGTATCTTCACAATGTGGTGCAACCACCACCTCTATTGAGAATGGAGAAATTTAACACAGAATTCAGAAGCAGCCTTGTGGCTCCTGGAGTCCTTGGCTTATACACTGTCCAGTGTTAGGCTGGGAGCCCTCAGTGGGGGTGGGTGGGTCTCTTCTTTTTGGTCTCCTCACTCTGTGAGTCCTCCCTTTTACCAGGTGATATGTTTTGGATCTGTGTCCCCACCCAACTGTCATGTTCAGTTGTGATCCTCAGTGTTGGCGGTGGGGCCTGGCGGGAGATGGCCTGGCTCATGACCCAGTGGATTTCTCATGAATGGATTAGTGCCATCCCCTTGGTACTGTCCAGCCCCTGCTCTGGCCATGTGATGCATCTGCTCCCCCTTTGCCTGCTCACGTCATTCAGGCAAGCTGGGACACGGGAGCAGTCAGGAGGACAGAGGGGTCCCACTGAAGCTTGCCCGGTGGGGGTCACCGTCAGATTTGCCACGAAGGAGCATTCCAAAGGCTGGTTAAGTAAATTCCTATAGCTCATTCAGCTGATGGAAGGTAGAAGGAACTCACCATGGTTTTAAGTTTCCTGGAGCCTCCTTAGAGGCCAAGCAGATGCCAGCATCATGCTTCCTGTACGGGCTGTGAGCCAATTAGATTCTTTTCTTTATAAATTACCCAGTCTCAGGTATTTCTTTATAGCAGTGTGAGAATGGACTAATACACCAGACATGTTCTGTCGAGAAAGAGGAGAGGTGAGGACTGGGAAAGAACAGACACAACCTAGCATTGGGGGTGAGATGGTTAATTTTATGTGTCAACTTGACTGGGCCACAGTGCCCAGATATTTGGTCCAACATTATTCTGTTTCTATGAGGCTGGTTTTTGGGTGTGATTTACACTGAGATGGGTGGATTTGAGGAAAGCAGATTTCCCTTCGTAATGTGAGTGGGCCTCATTCTATCAGTTGAAGGCCTGAATAGGACAGACTGAACTCCCCTGAGCAAGAGGAAATTCTCCAGCAGATGAATGGCCTTTGGACAACACACAAGGCTGCCAAAAATATCAGGCATGGCAGAGAAAGACCCTTCTCTCCTCTCCCTGCTCACCTCCTCATAGGCTCCCATCTTCCACAAGACATAGATATGAAAAACTTTACTTTAAAAAATTTTATTTTCAGATGATTCTAGATTCATAGGAAGTTGCAAGACTAGTGCATAGAGGTTCCCTCTACTATTTACTCAGTTTCCCCTGGTAAAATCTTGCACAACTATAGCACAATATCAAAAC